GACGTTGTCTTGCTGAAATAATCAAGGCCTTCCCTGAAAAAGACGTCGTCTGGATGGCAGCATGCATATACAAAACATGTATATATCGTTCAGCATTAATGGTGCCTTCACAGATGTGAACGTCACCCATACCATGTGCACTAATGCCCCCTACACCATCATGAATACGGGACACTTTTCCACTTCCCCTTAGTCCATTTTCAAAGAGCTCAGGCCCAGAGAAGGTGGCAGCGTTTCTGGATCCTGTTTATATTTGGTAACTTGCATTTATGGAAGCAGTGATGAACTGTTTTCACAGACAGTTTCAGAAGTGTTTCTGAGCCCATGCAGTGATTTCCACTACAGAATCATGTCTGTTTTTAATGCAGTGCTGCCTGAGGGCCCAAAGATCACGGCCAGCAAATACTGTTTTTTGGCCTCGTCCCTTACATACAGAGATTTCTCCAGATTCTCTGAATCTTTTAATGATATTATGTACCGTAGATGATGAAAAACAAAAGTTCTTTGCTATTTTATGTTGTTATTCTTGAATTGTTGCACTATTTGATCATGTAGTCTTTCACAGAGTGGTGAACCCCTCCTCATCTTAACTTCTGACACTCTCAGCCTCTCTGGGATGCTTTTTTATACCCAATCATGTTACTGACCTGTTGTCAATCAACCACCAGGTGTTTTTTAGCAACAACTTTACCAAATTCAAAATGGGCAAATATTTTTCAGTAAACAATAAAATTTCTCAGTTTCAACATTTGATATGTTGTCTTCGCACTGTTTTCAATGAAACATAAGGTTTAAATTATTTGCTCATCGTTGCATTTTGTTTTATTTACATTTTGAGTTCCAACTTTTTTGGAAACGGAGTTGTAATTTTCACCTGAATATCTTTTATTGTAAAAGATATCAAGTTGACAATAAATGTATTAATAGTACTTAAACATTTTAATAATAAGCCTTTTGTTTGCGTGTTATACATTACGTGTAGTTTGGGCACCTTAGTTTTAGGATGCCGTTTAGCTGCACTGTGGGAAACACTGCATGTACTATTAGAATAAAACACCAATGCCAACCGATGTCAGCATTACAGGAACTGCCTTAAGTCATAACACGATGCACCTGCAAACTGACCGGTAATGAATGTATCCCTTTTCCCCCTGTAGGTAACTGTGGGACACAGACATTAGAGCCTGCAGTTTTAGATTCAGCCAGCAGAGGGCAGATCAGAGGAGAGAGGGAGAAGCAGTGAATCGGCAGAGAGACTCTGGCTTCACCAGTGAGAGCGTGGTAGGCTGATGCACACTTGCTGGCCACTTTATTGGAAACACCTCCCTTGTTCTTACACTCACTGGCCACTTTATTAGAAACACATCCCTTGTGCTTCCACTCATTGGCCACTTTATTAGAAACACCTTCCTTGTGCTTCCACTAAGTGGCCACTTTATTAGAAATACCTCCCTTCTTCTTACACTCACTGGCCACTTTATTAGAAACACCTCCCTTCTTCTTCCACTCACTAGCCACTTTATTAGAAACACTCTGTATTCGAGTTGAAATGACTGTGTGTCTCCAGTGTCACTGCATGTTGTTGCCGCGTACTAAAAGGTAAACTAACCGTATTTGGTGGACGTGTCCTGGACTGTAGATGTCGGCGGTTGAACAGGAGGCCCTGTTGGATGACATCACGTGTGTGGAAATGGAGAATGACTCTGCAGATGAGGTGAGCTTCACTGAACGCAGAGCGGGTAGTTGTTCAATCGTGCGGTGAGACGAGTGTTTATTATAAAGTGCTGTAATCTCCCTGTTCCCTCTGTCTGAAGGGGGAGATGGTGGCGTCTACAGAAATCTTCGGAGCTGATCCTTTACGAACTCTGGGAGAAATTCTAGCTTACTGTCAGGTATGAAAGCCATTAGTACACTAACTGGCTGTGGTGACATCACTTACTGAATATTATTCATTTTCCTTAAAGGGCCCATATCTGGAAAACCAAACTGTCCTCATTTTTTAAAATAAGAGTTTGATGTTATACAGAAACAGTCCATACATGAAAACTAAGCAGCAAAAACATCCCATTTTGAACTCACTGGTTTTTGGGATGTCACAAAATATAACCCATGTTCATACAGTCCTATTAAAAACACCCCTGGTCAGATGATGTTTTTACTTGATTTTCTGTGTGAAAATAAGTAAACACATCCTCTACAGAGAACACGCTTAAATTAACATTTGTCTGCAAATTTAAGTGCAAAACTCCTATTTATTTGCTGATTTTAACAAATAAAGAATATAATATATAATCTGTAAAAGGTGCCATAACTTTTGCACAAGCCACAGTTTGTTTAATATTTTCTTTTATGTAAAATTCAGCAATAAACAGTAACTGTGTATTGAAATATGCAGAGCTGTGCTCTCTGTAGCCAGATTTTCACTTAAAAAAACTTGCTGTCCAAATTTGACCTGGGCGCCCAAACTTTTGCATACACTGTATATCTGCCTGTTGAGTCTACAGCAGAATTTAAATATTATTTTATTGTGTTTTTGCTAGTTGTAGTTCAGTTAACACTGTATTTTTCCAGTTGATTTGAATGGAAAGAACACTTTTTAGGTAAAAATGTCAGTTTTACCTGTTGAAATTCTGATTATTCCTAATTCTGCTAATTATTGTGTTTAGAGTGTCAGTTTTTACTAGTGGAAATATTTTAATTCCAAGTGTAAATTTAATTCTGACATATAAGAATTGAAAATTATGCATTTCACACACTGAAAATGTAATTAATGTATGTTAAAATGGAGAAGATGTTAATAAAATCCTTTAGAGCTCTTATTCTGAAGATTAATACTGCTGTGCTGTCTGTCTGGTCACACTTCTCCTCAGGTCATGTACGGAGCCATTCAGAAACTGGACGAAAAGTTAGAGCTGCTGCAGGCCAGAGTGACAAACATTCAGGCAGACCACCCGAGCCCACCGGTAAAAACCTGCACCTGTACCTTGTTTTATATTGTTATTTATATATATATATATCACACATCACTGCTGTTGGAACAAAACCTTGTATCTCCAAAATGGTTTTACTTTTAATGTAAGTCAATGGAACCAGACATTTTTCCAAGTCATTTTGGGTCATTTTTTTTTGGTCCAGTCATCATAAATTTTAGACACAATATAAAAAGAGCAGCAGGTTTTTTCAAATTGTGTCAAAAACTGAAAAACCAAAAGACCAAAATGGAGATACAAGGTTTTGTTCTGACAGCAGACAGTGAACACATCCTCTGCATAGTTTGATGCACAATCACTGTTTATTTACTGGATTTAACATTAAAAAAACACACAATGTGGCCTCTACAATATTATATTCAAGCATGTTCACTGTAGAGGATGTTAACTTGTTTTCATTTAGAAAATAAACGGAACATGTAGTCTGACCAGGGGGCGCCCAAACTTTTGCATTTGTATTTAGGTTTGTCGGGTTGATGCCTTAATTCCTCATTTAATCACATAATTTCAACATTTATTACATAATATGATCTCTTTTTTGATTTGGTTTCCAAAAATGACAAAAAACAGCAAAAATCCTACAAAGAATATTTTTTTCTTTCCAGAAAAACGAGACTTAAATACATAATGAAATAACTCGTATTATCTTCCTAGTGTGGTTTAGATTGAAGGTTTATAATCTGCCCTTTCCACACAGCGTCTCTGCTCATTTCAATGAGCTACATTTAGAAATAATTCATATAAAAGTTCACCCAGCATTTGGTGTCATAGGCAATAACTGCGATTTCTAAAGGTTAAAGAGAGCTATACTCTATTTCTCTCTCTCTCTCTCTCTCTCTCTCTCTCTCTCTCAGCTTCATTCTGAAGTTGCCGATGTGGCCTCCAGTTTCCTGAACCTGCAGCGGCGCCTCAGCTCTCCTCCTCCTTCTCCTCCTGTGGAGGATATGAAGCCGGCCGTCTTCATTCAAAGCCCAGAGAACCAGACGTCCTCTCAGACAGCCTCCGCCTCCACAGTGTCCACCCTCTCAGCTCACGCGTCGCCTCACACCGTGAAGAAAATGATCCTAAAACACCAGCGGAAAAAACCACACCACCCCTACAGCAACAGCAGCAGCCCGGCTGAAAGCACAGGTGAAGACCTGCTGAACCTTATTTAGTCTACTTCAAACTACAGCCTGATCACTCAGTTAAAGGGGAATCTCAGTGTGTGAGATGTAAACAGAGTCATTCAGAGTGGTTTGGTGTGAAATGGCTCAGATGTCTTTACAGTGGTGGTGATAGGAACCAGGGGTCGCCATGACAACAACACAAATATAGACATTTTATTTACTATCCAGAACCACCAGTGAACCAACACGAGCCTTCTGAGTTTATATGGGATGGTAAAATTATGGAAGCCCACAGCGTCAGTGAGCTGTTGCTATAATTTTTTGGATTGTTATCTTGAGATAACAAGCTAACTTTATTCTTGTTATCTCAAGCTAACTTTATCTTCAGATCGCAAGATAATTAACTCAATATGTCAAGATAATTACTTTTGTTATCTTGAGATAACAAGATAATTAACTTTTTTCTTGAGATAACAAGATCATTAACTTGTTATCTCGAGATAACAATCCACAAATTTATAACCCTCATGTGCTCTGGGCTTCTGTAAAAAATAGTGATCAATCTAAAAAACTTTTCTTTGGGGAAAAATATATTTTTAGGCCAAAAGCTTCTCGAAACTGTAATTAAACATTATGATGACATCAGTCAGTGAATTCATAACCATTTCATTGGGAAGGAGCTTTTAGAGGTGGACGTCTGGTTCCTATCACCACCACTGTGAACAGTTCTGACTCTGTAAGTTTCTCTAGAACAGAGCGTTTCACACCAAACCACTCTGAACGACTCTGTTTAACCATTAAATTAGGCAGAAAATTTGGACATTTGGTGGAATGCCCCTTCAACACTTATACTGACTGTGAACGTGTACATTCTGTAGTTATGAGAGTGAAGAACTGAAGCACAGACCCATAAAAGTGTGTACCCTCCTCACGACACTTAATCATCACCTTAGTGATTATCACGTTATGTAATAAACCATTTATAAAGAATTAAAGACACTTTTATTAGGGCAAAAGCGTTTAAATACAAAGGTGGGCTCACAAGTGTTCAATTTAGTGAGAGGAAAAAAGTTAAAATCACACTTTTATATAAATAAACATGGAAAAAATGTAACTTCATTTCTCTGAAGTGTCAAAAAGCCAGGACTGGAGTTCTCTTCTAAGAAAATTAGCACCATGCAAACCAATCCCTGTGTATCATACCGTAAATCACCCACCGTCTCCTGGCTGTGATCCTTTTTTCCCGCAGGAGGCGGGAGGTTCGTCCTCCCCAGCACGTTCCTGAGGAAGGCCAGCACCATGCCCAAACCCACGTCCGCCGCCCGCTTCCTCCTGCGCAGCGTCTTCTCCCACCAGGAGCTCCTGCAGGGCAGCACCAAAGGAGACCCGGCCAAAGGCCTGAACATGCTCGACCCGAACAAGATCGGCGCCATACGAGGCGAGTAGCACCAGATGTGCTGAGTCATTGAGTGAGACTCCTACAGTACATTCGACTACATCTGTAACCTCAGTCTGGATAAGAGTGTCTGCCACATGGCATTAATGCATTTAGTGTCCCTCCACAGAGTGGCTGCAGAAGAGGTACCCCAAACACGACCTGGGTGAGAAGGGCAAAGACTGGAGGGCCTGTCTGACCGTCATGAACAAAGGAGCCAGATACATCCGGCAGATGGACAAGAAACGCAAGGTGAGGAACGTCCAGGGTGTGAACGCTGGCTTAAGACGCACTCCGGTTCACCCTCACTTAATTTCAAACTTGTGAGCTCACTTTTGTATTTAAACCCTTTTGCCCAAATAAATGTATTAAATTCTTTATAAAACATTTATTACATAGTTATAATTAAAGGGCGTGAGGAGGGCACACACTTTTGGGTGCTCATGGGTTGGGACTTCAGTTCTTCACTCTCCCAACTACAGAATTTCACATTAGTTTTGAAGTAGTAAACAGTAAGTATAAATGTTAAAGGGGCATTCTGCCAAATTTCAAAAATTTCTGCATAATTAAATGATTGAAGTCATTGAGTGGTCTGACTTCATCCTTCAGCAGAGGTCTCATCAGGAAGAAGAGGGTCTCCAAAAGTGTTAATGTAAAAAATCTCAGCATGTGTAGAAAAGTTGTATGTGAGCATAAAGTAGTACGTACAGTGGGGTCCAAAAGTCCGAGAGCACTAGTGAAAATTTCTACATTTTCATTTTTACTTTTTTCATTACTAATGATATTATCAGCACAACAGTTTGAGTAAAAAGTACAGTCTTTGAATGTTCACATGAATTTCAAAATTTCTTAGTATTTGGTGGTGTCCTCCTTTTTGCTTTAATGGCAGTGTGTACTCAAACTGGCATGAACTCCACAAGTTTGTGCGAAAGCCCCTGACGAGCAGATCAAATCCACGCGAGAGTCGTCTGAACACGAGCTTCAGTGGAAGAGATGAAACCGAAACAACTGAAAATCAGTCTGACCTTTTTGCTGAAAGGCCTTAATGTGGTCATTTTCATAAAGCTACTTCAGTTTGAATAGTGGCCTCGAAACAGAGCTGGACTTTGAATATTTCTTCTTTGTTTTACTTCTTTGTTTTAACCTTTTCAAAATCCTGAGACTTTCTTTTATTTCCAGGTTTACATTAAAATAATCCCAGATGTTTTGGACCCTGCTGTATCACAGAGTTCGCTTAATAATCTGATAACTGCAGAAAGTCAGATTTTGTCAGTAATTGGATCAGTGCATTTACATGCACTTGAGTAATCAGATAATGGGGAAACACACGAGTCAGACGGTAATCAGATTTCTGCTTTGCAACCAGCCAATAAACTCACAGAAGACGCGACGTAAACGTAGCATAAAACTCAAACTTCATGCTGCGGCTTTTTTTAAAACATCGAGTTACTTTACCTGAAAATATGAACAAACATCGTCTAGAAGATGAAGAATATTTAAATCCTTTATTTCGTCAAGCATGTATTTGGTTTGCTGCGTCTGACGGCGACGCTGCTCGCTTATTTCTGGTACAGCCATCTGTTTCCGCACATGCTCAGACTGAGAAATGTGAAAGAAATCAGAGTAAGAGTCACATGCACTGAGAAATCTGATTACTGAGCTAAAATCCAGCCTCTTTATCAGATTTCTAGATTGGAGTGCAATGTTTACATGACCATTTGAATAATCGGATAACTGCAGAAATCCGATTATGATTGGATTATCGAGTGTTTGTAAACACACTCACTGAGCTGGTTCTGAATGTGTTCCACGCTCGAGCTCTTCCTGTGTATTTGAACAGTCAACACTGACGAGTCCAAACGCAGACGAACGGCCCAAATCTGCTTCCCCGGTTTCCCACATGGAGCCGCAGCCGACGGCGGAGATCGACGTGGAGCTTTCAGACAGCGACAACGACGACCTGCAGGGGCAGAACCTGCTGACCAGCACATTCAGAGCAGAGTCTGATCCAGAGAGAAGCTCTGACAACGAAGAGTTATCTGACCAAGAGGACCACGGTGAGCCTAGACTCTTAAAGAGGGTTCTTCAGTAACGAACATGGTTCTATACAGAACCATGAAAACTCAGAACGCTTTGCATGATTGAAGCGTTCAAGGGTTGCATCGTGAAAGGGTTCTTCAGATTGATGGAGAATGTGCTGTAGATGGTTCTGTATAGAACCTTTTTGAAAAGGGTTCCATATAGCACCAGAAAGGGTTCTGCTATCGTTACAATGTCAAGCTTGATACAATAGAAGAACCCTTTTTGGTGCTATATAGAACCATTTAAAGCACATTCTTCATAATCTGAAGAACCTTTTCGTGATGCAGAGAACCCTTCAATCATGCAAAGCGTTCTTTGAGTGTTCATAGTTCTATATAGAACCGTTTTCTTTACTAAAGAACCCATAAAAAAAACGTTTTTAAGTGTGTAGACTTAGAAAATGGAGATAGTACACACTTAAAGATGGTTCTTCAAGGGTTCTTTGGTAAAGGCAATGGTTCTATTTGGATATATGAGTATTACATAGAACTATTTCATGCTTAAATGGTTCTTTGCATGGTGAAATGGTTCTTCAGATTTATGGAGAAAGTGCTGTATATGGTTCTGTTTAGAGCTTTCTGAAAGTGGTTCTATGTAGCACCAAAAAGGGTTCTTCTATTGTTATGATGTCAAGCCTACAAACAATAGAAGAACCTTTCTGGTGCTGTATTGAACCATGAGCACTCAGAGAACCCTTTGCATTGTTAAAGGGTTCTTTGCATCATGAAATGGTTTTTCACATCAATGGGGAATGTGCTGTAGATGGTTCTGTATAGAACCTTTTTGTTACAATGTCAAGCTTGATACAGTAGAACTCTTTTTGGTGCTATATAGAACCCTTTTAAAAAGGTTCTGTATTTACAGCACATTCTCCATCAATCTGAAGAACACTCTCACGATGCAAAGAACCCTTCAATCATATAAAGGGTTCTTTGAGTGTTCATAGTTCTATATAGAACCATTTCGTTTACTAAAGAACCCAAAAAGAACCATGTTTTTAAGTGTGTAGACTTCAAAAATGAAGATAAGTTTTTTTTTTGTTTTTTTTTTTCTTCATGACCGCTTTACATAGTACACACTTACAGATGGTTCTCCAAGGGCTCTTTAGTAAAGGCAGTGGTTCTATTTGGATCCATGAGTATTACATAGAACCATTCCATGCTTGATGAAATGGTTCTTCAGATCGATGGAGAAGGTGCTGTAGATGGTTCTATATAGAAACTTTCTGAAAGTGGTTCTATGTAGAACCAAAAAGGGTTCTTCTATTGTTATGATGTCAAGCTTGTAACAATAGAAGAACCCTTTCTGGTGCTGCATTGAACCATGTTCAAAAAGACACCTGCAAAGAACCTTTTAAGCAGGACATGGTTCAATATAGAACTCATCATTCTGCCTTTACTAAAGAACCCTTGAAGAACCATCTTTTTAAGTGTGTAGAGTACAGTGTATGTTAATGTTCTGCGACAGCGTATCAGTCTGGGACACTAAGAACCGATTTAGTTTCAAATGTTGTACTTTATTGATGCTGAATGCTCTGCAGATGGAGACGTTCTTAATGTGAGGCGTATTTTCAGCTTATTTTTTGCTCATTTTAAAATTCTGAGTTTTGTGTATCGTTATTGTCACATCTTTACTCTTCTTTAGAGTCTGATCAGTCAGAACGTCACGCTTACAATTAGATCCACACCGTCTGATAAAGTCTTCTGCTTTTATTATTAAGTTCTGATACTAAAACTTTTTTTCCTCTTTTACTGAAACTAAAGTGTACCTGGGTTGTCCAGACCGAGAGGTGAAGGTGCCCCAGTACGCCATGTACACAGCCTGGCAGCGGCCCAACGCTCCCCTCGTCGCTCGCTACCTCATCAAGTTCATGTTCCCAGAGGACGTGCTCGTGCGGAGCAACGTGTACGGGAATGCCGAGTACGGCATGGAGCCGCTGGACCACAACAAGATCTCAGCTCTGAGGGGTCAGACAATACAGCCCACCCGCAAATACACACGCTATCTAAGCCTCCGGGGTCGTGGGCGCAAGGCAGGAAACACCCTGGACAGGCCGCCAGTCCATCACAGGGCAGACACACGGACACCAAGGGGCAATTTAGTGTCTCCAGTTGTCCTGACTGCATGTCTTTGGACTGTGGGATGAAACCCACACAGACACGGGGAGAACATGCAAACTCCACGCGGAAAGGATGCTGGTCGCCCGGCTGGGGAATCGAACCCAGACCCTTCTTGCTTGTCCAATTCAGGAGCTCCGTTAAAGCTCACCAACTTCTGTTACACAAGTGCCCACCACTCATTCATCATTATTCATTTAGGGTGCGCTCGTCCTCGTAGGTTAGCCTCAGTTAGAGGGGCAGAAGTACGCAGGTCCTTTACCCAAGTAAAAGTACTTTAAAATGGAAATACTCTATTAAATGTGGAGGTACTTTGCATTTTTAATCAAGTATAAAAGTAACTCCTAGATATACTTAAACTAACAACAAAAACAATAAAAGTCAATAAATAGCATTTATTTAAAAGGTTATTCTAGGTTATATTAGAGGTTATAATAAAGGTTATATTATTTTTTTAATTAGCATTTACTGCATTAATTAGATGAACACAACCATGAAACAGTGTAAATAATGAATTATGCTAGTTACATCAGAAAAGTCATAGTTGTTTGTTTTTTTTTGTAGAGCATATGCCAAGAATTATTTTTTATTTTTTTTTAAACCAACCAGCTCAAACCGTTCTTGTAAGTAAGGCGAGGAACGGTGGATTGCTTTTCTGACATATTTACACCTTCCGGAGTTCACACGCTGCCTCAGCACTACTGCTTTCTTTGGATTCTATGACGTATCTGCTCCTCCTTGATTTCACGTCCAGTAAGATGTTGGTTTGCTATCAACGTGGTGCCTGAATCACAGTTGCCAGATTGGGAAAACAAAACTAGATAACAAAAAAAAAAGAAAAAAAAAGAAAGAAGTCTGTTTTGAAAATAGTGAGTAGAAAGTACAGATTTTCTCTTTAAAATGTGAGTAAAAGTAAAAAAGTATTTATTGACAGAAATATTCAAGTACGTATTCTTAAAATTCTACTTAAGTGTCTCTGGCATCAGAGAGCTAATTACTTAGCCATGCAGTCTTTGTAATGCCATTATTATTATTATTATTATTCTTTATTTATTTTTATTTAATATAACGCGCAGTGGGTAGTGAGGTCACCTCACAGCAAGAAGGGTCTGTGTTTGATTCCCCTGCCTATTCTGTGTGGAGTCTGTTCTCCCCGTGTCTGCGTGGGTTTCCTCCCACAGTCTAAAGACATGCAGTCGGGCTAACTGAAGATAGTAAATTGCCCCTAGGTGTGAGTGTGTTTGCCCTGTGATGGACTAGCGGCCTGTCCAGGGTGTTTCCTGCCTTCCAGCCACTGACCACTGGAATGGCCTCCAGCTCCCCCCATGACCCAGGAGGATAACTGGCTTAGATATTGTGTGCGCATCACATACAGTGGGGTCCAAAAGTCTGATACCACATTGAAAATGTGGTATTTTTTTTCCATTTAAACCTGGAAATAAACAGCAGAACATTTTAGGATCTTGAAATTTTATAACAAAGTTGAGACAAAATGAAATATTGAAGATTTTGGACTTTTTCCAGGTCACTATTTAAATTTGTGAAATTGACCATGTTAAAGCCTTTTGTATAAAAAGGTCAGGTTTATTTTTGAGTCTTATGTCTTCCAGTGAAGCTTGTGTTCAGACTCTCAAGTGGATCTGATCTGCTGATCAGAAGCTTTTGCATAAACTTGACTTGTCAACTGAGCATGTTATTGGAAAGAAAAAATGAAAAATTTCTCTGATTTCAAAATGATTTATTTCTCTTGTAAATCATTACAGATCAATGCAGTGAACTGTAAATGGTTTAAATGAGCATAAAGTTTATTATGTAATTGTACAAGGTCTCAGTCTGAACCTCCTCCAGCTGTACAGACAACATCAACACCATAGTCAAACTCATCCCATACTGGATTGAGCATGTCGGGTGTCGCTGCACTCACGGCTCTTTCAGTGCGATTTCGGAGATCATCCAGTGTTGTGGAACCAACGCCGAACGCTCTGAGCTGTTGGAGCTTCACTGCCCACGAAAATCACACTGCACAGTTATGACAGATTCACTCTTATTGAAGTGGAGAACGCAGAACGCTTTCTGCTCAGGGGTCTCAACTCCTCTCAGACTGAAGGGAGCCATCTTCCACTGACGGTCAGAAACTCTATGACCCCCTCTTTCAATTGGATTGTGATTGGTTCCTAGACGCCTCATGGTTGTTAAAAATATGGGTCTTTGAAATCAGATTAATCTATTTGAATAACGCTGTATTTCTACTTACAGTACGCTCCTATTAGTCCTGATATCAGCAATGCAAAATATAAGCATTTTCACCGGCGGTCTCAGACTTTTGGACCCCATTGTACATTAAATGTTTGCTTTGGCACTGTGATGTTCTGCCTGCCTTTTTGTTATTGTTAGCTGAGTAACCTTTATCTTGTTAACTAGCAAGTTAGCAGAGAAATGTTAAACTGTACTTAAATTAACTAATGAATGAACAAATTCTTTGGGTTTGAAACAGAAGTTCGGTCAGATCAGTCAGTTCTGCTGCTGAAGTTGGCACTTATGTTCCCTCACGCTGGAGTGCAGCCCAGTTTGGTCAGCGATTTTTAGGTTTAGTGGACGTGCTTAAACAGGAAAATCTCCAAACTGGGCTGGACGGCGGCCCTCTGGGACTGCAGCTGGACACGCCTGGGTTTGGGGCCTATGTGTAAACACTGTGGGGTTAGAACAGTAGACAAAAGAACCCAAAGAAACACTGAATTACCTGACAAAACAATTACAAACTCATATTTCCTCCCTCTGCTCTCCATCTAGAACATCTTTGTGAGCGTTTTCCTGAAATGAAGCTGGAGGAGGAAGGTCAAGACTGGAAGGCGTGTGTGGACGCCATCAACAGCTGCATCCGAAAGACCAGACACAAGTGCAAGAAGCTTCGCCGCTGACCGGCAACACTGTGGAGATCAGATGCAAGCATGTGCGCCAGAACCTTCACTGACCTGTAGCTTGGTTTGAGAGCGACGCCTCACTTTCAAGTGTGGTTTACAGCTTTAGGGAAGGCAAAACTGTTTCACGGCATTGAGGATTATTTCAGTATATGGGCAGTAGTTCAGTGTAAGGGCAGTAGTTCAGTGTAAGGGCAGTCTGTCCTGCTGCTGCAGAAAGAATGAGGTTTTGTTTTGTTATGTTCACTGTTCAGACTAATTAACACTTTCCTATGCATTTCAATCTCATTTAATATTAAAAAAAATAGATACAGAACTGAGCAAAAGCATTTATTTTTCGTTTATTTGTAAATAGAAACACTAGCACATTCAGTGAGTACACTTTTGTTAATTACGAATTAAAAATATGTAAAAAGGAAAGCGCCTCAGTTTTTCTTGTATTCATACAGTCTGAAGATTAAGCACCTTTAGGATCTGAAAAACAAGGAAAGAAAAACAAAAGAAGGCAACAGAACAAAAGCCCACCCGTTACGGCTCACATTATCAAGAGCGGGACCCTCTTTACTGTAGATGCGGCCAACTGAACCGGAGGTAGAGCAACAGTAAGCCGTGTTGATGTTAAACTGAGTTAAATGCGCTTCGGTTGGATGGTGAGCCGGACGGTGACGTCTAGAACAGCAGCCGCTACTGAAGCAGGCCTTCAGTTCTGAATGAACCGCATGCACATACCAACAGAGTCCGTTCAGGAGACGATCGTGGGTCAACAGTATGTGTAAATCTATGAATATCTGCTTCTCGCTATTTAAATGTGGTCTTAGTTTTGGTTTACAGTCCAAGGCAGATTACGCCGTTCCTCAATTTCAGAACTGGCTGCTGAAGGTGCGACAGACGCTTGGCTCAATCCGTGCCTGCAGAACTGGCCCATGGCTCTCCTCTGAGGAGACGCTGTAGTGCTTGATGTAGGATTGCGGCTGCAGTCGACGTGAAGGTCACTCTGCTTCCACGCGTGGGGACGTCGCCTGAAACGAGAGCGTCAATTTGTATTCAGTTCGCTTTGTTGAAGAGGGACTCTGGCCAAAATCAGAACTAAGGGCTTTTCTTTGTCCACAGTACTTATATGGAAGCTAATGCAAAAATCAGCCTGTTTTGAATTCGCTGTGTTTGTGATGTCACAAAAACCAGCAAATTTACATGAACCTGTCTGTTCGGCCCACAGCAGGTTAGCCACGCCCATTCTCACTGAAGTTATGAGGATCTGGGTCCATTATTTAGTAATAATGATGCAGCCAGGACTGATTTTTGACTAATACAGGGCAATCAGAACACCTCATTCATACATACACACACACACAGACACACACACAGACACATATATATATATAAAATAAGTAATCGCTGTTGTCGAAAGAAAAACCATATTTTATATATATTACACACATTATATTTATTTATTTATTCTAAACACTAAAGACACTTGAAAATGAATTATGTAAAAATGAAAAAAATTTAAATACACCAAAAATGCAGGATATGGGTCTTTTAACCATTGCTGTTCCTGTTTAAAGACTAGGAAAACCAAATTCCAAATGATGTCTCTCGAAGGGCTTTTGCGGCAGATACTTAAGGGCAGTCTGTTTGAAATAGTTTTGTCTAATAAATATTAAACATTGAAATGATCATGAAATATTTTCAAGAAATCACAGAGTAAATCATACGCAGATGAGCTTCTCATTCATTCTCATGCATTTAGGAATCATAAATCAACGATATGCTCCACCAGAGGGCAGTGAAGAGTTTCTCATCTGTTCAATCCAGCCCTGTTTTTTATAATAATGGCTTACAAATCTGAATGCAAACCCCAAACGGATAATGCAGAAGGAAGCCAGGTAGCCATGCGCTAAACAACTATGATGGACAAAAACAGAGAAAGGATACCAAACTCTTGAGGGATGCAACATAAAATCCTAGTTTTTGGGTGGAATTTCCCTTTAATGAAAGTAAACTCAAGGCCTTTGGAGTAAGTAAGAGGCATTCCTAGGTTTTCACTGTTGTATCTCCCACAAAACAGTGGAACATGCAGGAAATACTATTAAATCACAACTGTCTTAAGTTTCAGTAGAGAACTGAGTGTCTGGCCCTTTAATATCAGTTATCATGTCTGATGTGTTCATTCTTCTGCCAAAACAGGTCCTGTTCTATTATAAAAAGCTCAGAGAGCAGCAGGTAAACTGCACTCAGGGGACAAACATGTTTGTTTTGATGAAGCACATTTCATTTATTGCAGGGCTCAATAGTGACTGTTGACTCTTTAACTCAGGAACCTGGTAATCAGTGAACAGTGCTGTTAATAAGTAACCCAAGATCTGCAGCTCTGCTTGAACGTGTGTTGGGAGTCATACCTCCTTCTTGCGGAGATCTTTAGTGATTCTGTTGAGAACTCCCAGGCACTGAGCCCACGCTGAGCCCCTCACAGTCAGGTCATGCTGGGGGTACATCTCAGCCAGCCACTCTGAATACAAACATACACACACAGTTCAACAGATGCATTAAATTCACGTCCACCTTAACTGTAACTGAATAATTTACTAAAAACATTCCCATCCAGATTTTCCACCATACTGAGGCATCAGTGCATCACGGTTCACACTAATCCAGTCAGTATCAGTAGTTCAGGTGTGTTCACCTCGCATGGCCTCCAGTTTGTTGGGGTCGAGCTGCTGGACACCCCGGAGCGGGCCGCCGGTGATGGCGCTGCAGGACAGCGTGCTGATGGGAAAGAGGGCGTGGAGCACCGGCACCATGGCTTTCTGAGGCTTCGCCTCCTTAACGGCCTCCACGTACACTGACTCGGGGATCCAGACCTTCCGCATCGCGCTGCCAATCATCACTGAGTAGAGGAAAGGAAGGAGAGGAAGGAAGGAAGAGGAGAAAGAGGACTGAATAACTCCTCAACAGATCTAGAACATGAAACTGTCCGTTAAAACTAGTGATATGCTGAAAGGACAGCGAAACAAACTCAGCTGAGAACATGAAATATATATTTTTTTAAAATTTGCAATAAAGATTTTTTTCCTATTTTATTTACGCAATGAGATTTACATACTAAATTCATACAACTGTGCTTTGTGGTTAGAAAAGCTGCTTTCAATCGGACAAATCTGCATCAGGATGTGCCGTAACAGACAACAGGTGGTCATTAAGAGCCATAAATTCTGTTATGTTTTTCATTATTATGTGTTGTAATGGTGCGAGTGGATCAGACACAGCAGTGCTGCTGGAGTTTTTTTTAAACAATGTCCACTCACTGTCCACTCTATTAGACACTCCTACTATGTTCTGTACGTGGTGAGTCTTGGATCACTGCCGATTTTGTCCTTTCTTTCAACTGAATGCTTAAAAAGTGCTATTTTAGTCCTTTCTGGTGGCCACAGTTTCAGTGTAACCCTAATTAAAATTTAGCAAATTAATCTTCAAAGGTTTTGATTTTGGTTTTGATTAATGGTGCAGTCTCAGCAGCTAATCGCCTCATCTTTCACCTTGTTTGTCCTGTTCAGCAGGAGGCGTGTCCTCCTCTTGTTTGATGGGCACTGCATCCTTGAGCTCTCTTATTTTTTGGAGGTTTTTCACCCTCCTGTTCAGCCGAGGAACTTTCTTCGGCACCTCAGCAGCTTGTGGCTCCTCCTTTATTGCGAAACTCCCCTCTTTTGGCAGCTCCTGTTCAGGCTGGAGTTCTGAGCTGGGCTGCTGTGGCTGAGATCCTCTTTTACCTCCTGCTCCCCAGCGGCCCCTGCGCCTGCCGTTCCCTCGACCGCCGCCGTGGGTTCTGGTGGCCCTGCTGCCGTAGGGGTCAGGTTCAAGAGGGACTGCAGTGCCCGGGATTGGCTGAGCTGGGTGCTGCTTCCACGGAGGGGCCCTGCGGTGCCTGGTCTGAGGTGAGGGACCCAGACGCTGTGCGAGGGACCAAGAGAGCTGACCTGCTCGCAACTGACCCTGAGACAAAACACAAAGTCATAAAAAGTGACCAAATCAACCAATCAGATTAAAATGACCAATTAATTAAAGCACTGTATGTCTCTGGACAAATCTGTTAGGCCACATAATTTACCACATATGAAAAATTAAAAAGTTCAGAAAAAAGGCCCAATAACGTCGTATTTTACCTCATCCAGTGTGTGGTAGCGTTTAGGTGGCTGCAGTAGCCATTCTATACTAATCCAGGTAGATTAGACCTGCAATCAGCCCACAATTCCCACAAAAAGAGGGTTCTTCAAGCGTTCTTTACTACAGAAAATGGCTCTATGTAGAACCAACACTCAAAGAACCCCTTGCATGTTTAAAGGGCTCTTTGCATCAAGAAAGCATTCTTCAGATTGATGGAGAATGTGCTGTAGATGGTTCTATATAGAACATTTTTGAAAAGGGTCCTTTATAGCGCCCAAAAGAGTTCCAAGCTAACACACTATCAAGATACATTAACATGCACTGTATTCTTGTCCCTACACCCTTAAAAAGATGGGTGTTCAAGGGTTCTTTTGTAAAGGCAGAATAATGAGTTCTATATAGAACCACTTCCTGCTGTTTCTTTGAATGTGTCTTTTTGAACATGGTTCTATACAGCACCAGAAACATTCTTCTATTGGTACAAGCTTGATATTGTAATAAAAGAACCCTTTTTGGGTGCTACATAGGACCATTTCCAAAAAAAAGCAACAGGAAACAACAAAGCCTTCTTCTGAGGAGCCGAAGGCCAACTCGCTCCTTCAGCACTACTGGGGCTTGATTAGATCTACCGGAGGAGGTTGTGTGCTGTAATTTGACCAGCAGTCACAGGATAAACCTGCCACAGAGAGCCTGGACTGAAAGGTTATAGCCCGGATGTTTGTCAGCGTTACACCCCAGGCACTGCATTGTCTGAACATACTGATACCTGCACACTATAAAAAGGCTGGTACAATAAAGTGAGAAAGACCTGGGTTGTCTCGGATGTGGCCTTTGGTGAAAAAACCATTCCACTGAAACCATGTAAAGTAATATGGACTTCAAATGGATGAAGGAACTGAGACACCACATTTCTTCAGCGCTTTCATCTTGTATGTTTTGTAAAGTGCTTTAGAAAAGGAAAAAACAAAAACAGAGCAAAAAGACAGGCGGTCCTGGGGCATGGGTGCAGCCAACTCAAAGTAACAATTCCAATTATTATGAATAAATAAATAAATAAATAAATAAATAAATATAGGCATAAAAAGCCTTTTTCGAAACATGACTATGTATAAAAACGTGCTGACGCATTGTGGCCTTCATCAGGACAAAACAATTGATACGTCATTCTATATGTGGCATATATGGTTTTATATAGAATTCATTATTCTGCCTTTACTGAAGAACCCTTGAACACCCATCTTTTTTAAGGGTGTAGAACAAAGGTCACTAATAGGTGGACCGCGGCCCGAGTCCTACGCGGACCTGGACCAACAACAGATAAACTATGGGAGATTATTTAATTTCGACAGGGTGGTCCTGTTTTAATCGGCGTAGCTTTTCTAGCCTTTACTGTAACTTTAGCGGCCCAGGAGACTCACAGACCAATCGCATGCGTTGTAAATATCACACGTGACGCTACTCAGCCAATCAGATCTGTGCATTACGATGGGCACTGAGACTCGAGTGAGTGACGCTCACTAAGGGGAGGGACGAGGCGAGACACAGCAGTCGGAGAAGAAAGTGAGTCAGAGGGAAGTTATTTAACATGACGTGATCTAAAAAAGAGAAAACTGACAAATATTGTTGAAATATGACTGAATTGGACTTTGATTTGATTTGATATTCAGTTGTTGACTGTATAAGATGTTGATATACCTACTGGGCTACTTCAGTATAGAGTCTATGGCGCTGAGTCATGATGCAAGTTAGACGTTACGATATTCTGGACCTTTGCTCGAGGAAATTTTCTCTAACTGGACCTTATTGAATTTTAATTAAGACCCCTGGTGTAGAGACAAAAATACAATGTATCTTAATGCATGACGACAGTGTGTTAGCTTGGAACCCTTTGGGGTGCTATAAAGAACCCTTTTCATAAGTGCTCTATAAAAATGTGCTGGTGTGTTGCAGCTTCATCAGGACACAATAAACTGATATGCCAAGTTTGGTGTCCTGATGGAGGCCTGAAAGGCCACAACGTGTCAGCACATTTTTAACCTATCGCTACGATTCTATAAAGGATTTCTGTATCTCCTTCGACGATGAGCCTCGGAATATCTTTGTTCTCGGTACACACAGTACCTCCTCTGGAATCTCCCGCTTGCTGCATCCACCGGTGGCGTAGCGGTTTGACTGAAGGTTGTCAATCTTCTGCTCAAGCCTCTGCACTGCTGCATGCAGGAACTGGTGGAGATAAAGACAGACATTCGCTGAAGGTTCTTAAGTGGACTGTTATTCGCCTAAAGGACAAGGAACTGATATTCAGCTACAGAAAGGCTCAAAAGGTTTTACACGATCCCAGTTTACTTGACTAGAGGGGCTTTGTAGGTACAGATGAATGAGTTATGGACTATATGAATCTCTCAAGTGATGAACCCAATCATTTATATACTGTGCCGTGTACTTTTACCTGGATTCACTGATGACCTTAAAAAAAGCTGGATTAGTTTTACCAGAGAAAGTCCGGTACTGATATTAATACGGGATTTGACTGGCTGAAGCATACAAGATAAAGCATCCGTGTAACGTCCTTCAAATAACCCCAGGCAGCCCAAATTGTTCCGATTGGATGCTTATTTTCTACCCAAAACCACCAGTGAAACCACACGTGTCTTCTGAGTTTCACATCTACTGCTGAGGATGGTAAAACAGTGATAAATGGTCTAGTCCAAATTATTAATTACATTATTTAGTAACATTTTGTACATTACTAAGTATATTAATATGAAAATTTTAAACCAAACTAGTAATGATACGAATAACAGCTTAGATTTGGCAACACAATACGGCAAGTTGGGATGGAACCATAACCAAAGGATCAGCCTACACTGGAAAAACTGATGTTCTTTCAGGCTTTCTATTTTCTATTTATTTACATTCTGCACACCATCCCAACTTTACTGGAAATGGGTTGTACATTTATGGCATTTGGCAGACACTCTTATCCAGAGTGACTTACAGTGTGATCACTTTACACCGGTAGGTGAATTCAGTGTTAGGAGTCTTGCCCAAGGACTCTTATTGGTATAGTGTAGGGTGTTCACCCAGGCAGGGATTGAACCCCAGTCTACAGTGCAGAAGGCAGGTGTGTTACTCACTACACTTCACCAAAACCTGAAAGGCTTTCAGGTTTGACTCACCCTGCAGTGGCTCAGGACCTCTAGCAGTACATTCTCCTGTCTTTCACCGCCTTGGGCTCTCTCCTGCTTGAGGACAAATTAAGAACAGCACATAAACAAGACTTTTCAGGGCCCTCCAGCCGTATTGAAACGACCTCAGCTAATTTTGGAGTGATGCTCCGAAACATGGTTTAATGCAAGACTTAAAATGGCAAAAGTCTCTGATCAACATACAGACGAATTTAAAATGTACTAATTTATAATGTTGTATCTGAACAAAACTGAACTAGCTCTGATTTAAAACAGGAAAAGATATTTCTCACCTTCATGTTAGCTAGAGCCACAATTTAAGTTCCACAGTTTTTCTTTAACCCTCTACTGCACGCATTATGAGAGCAATTAAAAAAAAATAAAAATTCAATTCCCTTTTCCCACATAAAATGATCCTTGATTTATTTTTTTGGACCTATTTATTAAATTCAAAAACATTAAAAAAATAAATAAAGTGTGCAGGGGTCATTTTGGAGCCTTGAGGCAACATTGTGCGACAATGTGAAGAAATGATACAGAGCCGTGTTCCCTGATGTGGTGAGATCTGGCTTGTGACTGGCTAAATTCATTCCACTGTTGTACAATGTTGCTTCTAGGCAACAAACAATTCTGGAAATTCTCGTAACAAAAAATTATACTGAATTTGAAAAATGAGGTTTGACCAAGTACATGCTTTTTATCGACTTACTCGAACTCTTACCTTCATTGTTAACCCTACCATTTAACGTTATTGTAAAGTGGGGAAAATGAGTTTGTTGCCCTGAGGCAACATCATTCAATAGAGAGTTAAGGGTATGTTCAATACTATAGCGGTTAGATAAAACTATCACTAACTGACTAACTCACATATGTATGACTGCATTACAGACCACAGGCAAAAATGGGCCACGATACTCTAGGCTAATGGTGTTGATCTTCCTCTGACTGAGCTGGACGAGGTCCTAGGTGTTCACAGTAAGCCTGCTTAAGCTGAGTGAAGTGGTCTGGATGGGCTATAATGCCTCAAAAGTTCAGCAAGACATTTAAAGCTGTTAATGGCGGTGCTCCAGCATGTCATGAGCAAGACTCTGTAGTCGATGCACAGCTTAACAGGAAACTACAAAAAAGTTATCTTGCTAACCCAGAAATGTGGTTTCATATTATACACCAGAGAACTTCACTTAATCGGTGCCTGAAAAATAAGACCAAATTTCACGCATTTAGTCATATTTCAGAACTTCTTTCACGAGCGGACAATACAGTCAAATTATGAAGTAACCTTTAATCAGGGTCTGCACAGATTCACAACCCGTCCAGGACGAACAGGAAGTAAGCAGATACTAAACTCTGGTTGCATTTTAGGTTGTGTGGTTTTACTGCATTTTAACGTCTTTACTTAGAAACCCTGATGGCAGAACTGATACAACATTTCTGTACCACATTCTAAACTGCATATAAGGGCTCTACTAACACGTATATCACTACTGTCGGAACAAAACCTCGTATCTCCATTTTTGGAATTTTTCAGTTTTGGACATGATTTGTTGCCCTTTACGTTGTGTGTAAATTTCATGAAGAACAGACCAACAGAAACGACCCAAAATGACTTGTAAAAAAGTCTGGTTCCATTGACTTACATTAAAAGTAAAGTAGGTTTTTTCCTTCTCCTGTAAAGTTACCATTTTGGAGATACAAGGTTTTGTTCTGACAACAGTGATATGTAAATGATGTACATAATGCACATATACCACATTATAATTCTGTTCCAGAGCTCAGGAGATACATAAGAAAATTATTTTCCATCAGTAAGAGATCCTAATTAAGTAACTAGCTTGGTCATTGGTCGATGCAGCTGATCTGAAGGATTTCAATTAGAAATCTTTAAAGCACAACGAATACAGCGACATTTCTGTACTACGCATGTAAAAGCTTTACTAACCAGGCCAGGGGCTGCAGGGAAGAGTGGAGGCTCCAACCCAGGCAAAGGGCTGACAGCACTGGTTAGGTCAGGTACGGAGTACGGTGCAGAAGCCCCTGCTACCCCTTCAGCCAGCCCAGACTGGACAGGCACACACGACCGTTCAACGGAGGAGGACCTTTCATTGCTGTCCTGCAAATTCAGACACGGACCATTTATCAGCACAAACTTACAGCACAAACTGATCAAACTGCTGCTTGTTTAATGGTCATTTAAGGATGTCATGGTACCTTATTTTTAACAGCTGTCAAGCAAGATGTTCAGTATTTTTTTCCCTTTTTTTGGACACGAGATAATTTATTATTTCTTCCGAACATGTGATCGCAAATTCCCGGCCCAGAACATCTTTGCCAAACCGGAGCCGAGCGTTACAAATGTGCTCTCGAAGGACCTAGACAGCGAAATCCCAAGTGTCCATCCCAGAATTCCAAGCCTGAAAATTCTAGGATTTTTTTTTTTTTTTTTACCAACATCTACACGTCTATTAGTCAGTAATAACTAACAGATACTTAATACCTAAATCTGTAGTTGTGTGATTTTCACTGCAAGGGTAGAGCAGAATGTGCCTAAAAGACCAGGGGCCGGATTAACCATGGTGAAAAAAAAACAACAAAAACAAACAAACACAAACAAATACAAACTTACAACAAATAAAAAAAAAACAAAATGCAAGCAAAATATAACCTGCAATGGATCTTAAAAACTTTCTCAAAGACGTTGAGAACAATGTTTTACTGCAATCCTCCAAGTTCTTAAATATTCTCTTAGAAATAATATTCTAAAAAATATTCTCTTAATCTCATCTCAGCCACAAGCATAGACGTTATGCTTTCAAAAGCTTGCCTTGCCGAACGCCAGACCGTTTTTAGACCAAGAAAATCTTTAAGAACTGTTTTTTTTTCCCCAAGAACAGCACTTTGTATTCTTAAAACTGTGTTTATAAATGTTTTTAAAGATTAATAATTCATCATAAGGCTGCCCCCTAAGTCGTGTACCGGGCGCTGACTAAACTACGTCCAGACAGTCACTCGTGGTTCCACCTCATATCAATGGCACCCCTTCAGAAGCACCACAGAGTAGGTGCTCTTTTCTTTGATGGGGATGTTGTGAGGTAATAAAGTGATTTAAAGTCCAGCACAGGAGCATATGCATGTGCATATATGTAGATTTGAGTCCCAAGTCACCTTCTTATACTTTTTTGCACAAAAAAGGAACAAAAATTAATAATAATAAAAAAAAATTTAACAACCGCTCATCCTTTTTTTTATAGCAGCAAGTCTCTTCTTGACGTAGACCAGGCCTTGTAATCCTCTAGACCGGAAACAGGCAGTGACACACGAACACGCTGAATTCTTCTTGGTGTCCACACGTTAAAAACAGACAAACAAAAACAAAACGAGCTTAACTTGCGGTTCTTTACATGCAGGTTTCCTCGGAATAAGTTTCGCACGACTTGCCCACTCGGTCCGTTTCCCTACTGACTGAATCCGTGCTTGTCCTCCAGGTGTTTGAGCATGTTTGTGGTGTTTCCTCCTTGGCTGGAAACCTTCCGGAAACACGTCTTGCAGACTGGGCGTCCGTCCACATTCACCGTTCCATCTGGGTTCTTCGGGTATCCGAAATATTCCCAAACAAAGGATCTAACTTGCTTCGATGGAGGGCAAAGTTCTGCAGGTTCGCTTCCTCCTTGTAGGCCCAGCTTTGATTTCCTGTTTGCCTTCTGGATTGAATGGAAAACAAACGAGTCAGACATTTTAAACCCACAGGGCTGCAAAAAACAAGCACTGATGAGGATAAAGTGCATTAAGTACCTAATAAAGTTTAGAAATTAGGAACGTCAGACGAATCAACTGCATCAGTTTTTGTAGGTTATCATGGTAAATTGTGTTAGTTTGTGGTTAATAACACTGTTTTGTGTAGTTAATTATGATTAACCACATTATTTGTAGAGACGCACTGATACCACATTTTCCCTTCCGATACCTGATCCTTTAGTATTGGCCGATATCGAGTACCGATACTAGCACTATCTAACCCAACTCATATACAAGTCCTGATATCTACACAGTTACATTTTTTAAATAATTTTATTTAGCCCAGCTGGGCTAGATGGCATTTACTTGTTAGATTACATTTATCAAATGCTTAAGAAAACTTTTTTTACTGTATTATTATTATTATATAGTTAGTAATAAGAACCATATTTAACAACTTAGAAATTATTTTTTGGTATCAGTCATATATCGGTATCCCCATCACCGATACCGATACTGTGTTTAAGTGCCAGTATCGGCATCGATACTGATACAGCATCGGTATCGGTGCAACACTAATTATGCGTGTAGTTTATTGTGATTAATCACGTTATTTCGTGCTGTCAATCATAATCAGACTGTCCTATTTGCCCAAGTTTGACCCTAAAGCAATTTCTTTTTCTATTTCAAAAACAGTGCATTTTGTTACAGCTACATAATAACAATATAAGCTTCATCAAAATTCAGTAATTCAATAACATTTTTCACTAGATTTTATCATAACGAAATACAGGGCGCTGCAGCTGGGCTTCAGCCTGCACTGCTTTGGATCGTTCAAAGTGCCAAACCAGATAAAAGATTTGCGGTGTTACTGATTTATATGCTAACGTTAACTCTGACAACCCCACTAAAACACACAACAGTCTGAAAACAAGTTTACCTTGAATTCTTCATAGGCAGAGAAATGGCAGAACTGCAGGTGTCGTATCATTCTCCTCGGATCTTGGCTCGACACCTTTCTGGCACATATTTTACAGATTGGGGATCCGTTGTCTTCAACAACCCCATCGATATTCTTGCTAAGTCCAAAATATTCCCATATTGGAGGAAGCGGCTGCTTGTTTGGTGGGAAAAGTTCTGGGAGTTCTTCAGCACTGACCACCTTTTCCTTCTTTTCTGGTATCTAAAAAAAATTAACAAATGATTAAATGATTAAATGATTAAATGATGATTGATAAGTTAGTTTAAAAAAAAATAAAATAAATATATAAATATGCATAAATTATTTTTTAGAAGTACCTTGAGCTCATCATAGAAATCTCTATGATGATCCTTGAGATGCGCAGTCATATTCGCTGTGACTTTTCCTTTGTTCGACACTTTCGAAAGGCAGATTTTGCAGATGGGGTATCCGGCGCAGTCTGCTGGACCCTCCGTGTCTCTCAGGTAGCCAAAGTATTTCCACACTGCTGATCTCACTCTGTGCTCTGGTGGGTGCAGATCTGGGAGTTGAGTGGCACCACTGATTGTGAATGGGTTGACTTCCCTCTAAACCAATTAAAAACATACATAAATAAATAAATAAATAAATAAACAAACAAACAAACAAACAAAACATGGTTGAGTTACTCAGCTTCATTCAGTTCATATGATTCTCTGCCTCATATGACTTCAGTAAATATCTGCATACTTTGTTTGCCCCCTCTCATCCTGTTCAGTGGTCAGCAGGCATTATCTGGGTGGTGGCCCATTCTCAACAGTCACACTGACACACAGTGGTGTGTGTTGCGCTGATGCGAGTGGATCAGACACAGCAGTGCTGCTGGAGTTTTTAAACACTGTGTCCACTCACTGTCCACTCTATTAGACACTCCTACCTCGTCAGTCCACCTTGTAGATGTGAAGTCAGAGACGATAGCTCATCTGCTGCTGCACAGTTTGTGTCGGTCATCCTGGTCATCAGTGGTCACACACCACCACCACTTCAGTGTTACTGCAGTGCTGAGAATGATCCACCACCCAAATAGTACCTGCTCTGTGAGGGTCCATGGGGGTCCTGACCAATGAAGAACAGGGTGAAAGGGGGCTAACACTGACTTCAGTCTGTAACTGTAGAACTACCAAGTTCACCTGAACTTCAGCGTATACAGCGTTATGGTTCTCCTTAAGGTGCTGCATCATGTTTGCCGTGGTTTCGCCCTTGGAGATCAACTTCCGGAAGCAAAGTTTACAGATCGGAGCGCCGTCTTCCTCAACGATCCCCTCTTCAGTTTTCCGATATCCAAAATACTCCCATAATTTCGGGTTATACGGACCGTTTGGTGGATGGAGGTCGGTAGGCATGCAAACGTCCTCGAACGTCTCATTTGTAACTGCAGACTAAGAGGGAGATGTTGGTTTTACTCTCACCGAACATCCAGAAACACAGAATACGAACACAATGTCCATATTTAACAGGCATACTGACCCGTATCTCGTCGTAGGTGACTCGGTGGTAATCTTTGAGGTGTTTAAACATGTTCGTTGTACATCTGCCTTTCGAAGCCACCTTCTGTTGGCACAGTTTGCAGATGGGATAATCGTCACAAACCACCGAGCCCTCGGCATCTTTTAAGTATCCGAAATATTCCCAGACAGGAGAGGTAACGTTTTGTGTTGGGGGATGAAGTTCTGGGGGTTCAATGCCCCACTCGGTTCTCAACGCGGTGATCGCCTCCTGAAGAGATAGACGTCATAGCAACATCATTACACGAGCCAACAACCTAAGGTCCCATTTAAATACCTTTTTTTTTGCCCTTGTCAACTCTGACTTAAATCAATAAAAACCTGGCCGCCTTATGCTAATTATTTATTTTTACTCAATAACGACCAATAGAATAAATCACCACGCAAATTCTTGCGCTTTTCATTTCACAGACACCCCAGACAAACAATTTTAGAGGTAACTGAGGTGACAACTGTTTTCAAAACCTCTACAAAACATTTACACAATTTCGCAGATGCTAGGTAAATTTTTGATTAAAAAATTAGCTAAATTTCAGATTATTTTTGGTTTCTGTTGCATTTACTTGTCAAATACAGGCATATCTGAGTAGCCCAGGGTCTCCTGACAATAACAACACAAGTCCCATGTAAATACTTTATAATTACTTGTAATTGACCCAAAATACCACTAAATTCCCACCAAAATCCCAGGGTTCTGAAGGTTAAACATACATTTTTTGAATAACTGACTTGTCCAGCTATAAACGTTGGTACATTACCTTTATTTTTTGTCATTGCTAGCTGTGTAGCACTTAACTTGCTGTAGTAGTTTGCTGTCTGAACTGAACTGATAAAGGAACCTTATGATGGATCCCCACAGGGAAAATGGTGAGGCCAAATGGATGAGGGCTTGTTAAAACTGTACTCAAATGGGCAGTAAATACACCAATAACACCACTTCAAAAACCTGAACACCATAAAATAAAAAAGAAATAAAGACTAAAATAGGGCAGATTTAAGACTCCATAAACACATGAATGAATGAAGTCCAGTGAGTCCGTTGTCAGTCTCCTGAGTTCTACATACATTTTTCCAGATTATACAGTCTCGGTTTACGTTTGTCTTTAGTCAGATGACACATTAATTTAAGTAGTTTGGAAGCCACAGATTCAGCCGTGAATTATTCCCACTCAGCCCCGCCCACCTGATTTCAACACCCACCTGGACTTCATCAAACACAGACTGGTGTTTCTTCCGCAGGTGCCTCAGCATGTTGGTCGTTGGGGTCCCGTCCCCGGAGGCTTTCATCAGCTTTCGAAGGCAGATTTTACAGATCGGCGCTCCGTCGTCCTGAAGGACTCCATCTGCGTTTTTGGGATATCCAAAGTGATCCCACAGCTTTATGTCGTTCTGACTGTTCGGAGGAAAGAGCTCGAAGGGTCTGTAGACAACCTTTTTTGCTACTGCGGACTAAAACGGATAAACAAATAGATCAATATCTCTGCACGCAGATCAATACACAACAGTAATTTTAACTACGTGGCTTTACTTTGTGGAAACAAGACAAACCGTATCTGAACACAAAGAGGAACCTGATTAACTTCACCTTGACTTCTTTGTAAATGTCCAAATGATACGCTCTCAGATGTATCAGCATGTTTGTCGTGTTGTCTCCTTTGGCCAAAACCTTCTTTTGACAAATCCTGCAGATTGGGAAGCCATCACACAAAATGGTGCCATCTGAGTTTTTCGGGTATCCGAAATATTTCCAGACTGGGGACATCGCGTCAGCTGTTGGCAGGTGAAGTTCCAGTGGTTCAAGGTCAGTTTCGGCCCTCGCAGGAATGACCACAGCCTGAGACGAGTGGAGACGGGAACAACCAATATAGACTTTTGTATTTTTTAAGCTTGTTGATGGTCAAACTGCAAAGGAAGAACTGCACTGCCTGCCTGTGTCTTTCAAGATTTCTACTTCTTGTTTTTAAGGCTCTAAATGACCTTAAAGCACCTGTGACCCTCACAGCATGTGTCATATGTTTCCATATGTGATCTGCAGATACTGACCCTCTGCAAATACCCTCAATAAAATACAGAAAACGCGGACCCAGTTATTCTACTTCTAAACTGTGGAACTCAATTACACCTTTTTTATTAGACAGTCAAGCTCAAAGCACATTTTTGAGAAACAGCACACACTGATTTCTTAGGACGGAGTAAGGTCTAGAAATCTGATAAAGAGGCTGGATTTTAGCTCAGTAATCAGATTTCTCAGTGCATGTAAACTCTTACTCTGATTTCTTTCGGATTTCTCAGTCTGAGCATGTGCGAAAACAGACTACGGTACCAGAAATAAGCGAGCAGCGTCGCTGCAAGACGCAGCAAAACACTTTGAGGGCGAAAACCAAAACACGCTTGAAGAAATTAAGAATTCATCTTCTAGATGATGTACGTTTATATTTTCAGATAAAGAAAATATTTAAAAGTAAAAAGCCGCAACATGAAGTTTGAGTTTTACGTTACGTTTACGTCATATTTTCTTCTGAGAGTTTATTGGCTGGTTGTAAAGCAGAAATCCGATTACTGTAGACCTGGAGTTTCCCATTATCTGACTACTCACGTGCATGTCAGTAAGACAATCAACGCGTTTACGAAATCTGATTTTCTGCAGTTATCAGATTAAGTGTAAATGCACTTACTGTCTTGTCTAGTACTGAAAACATTATCACCTGTCTGGAAAGCACTCTACGCTGCTAATGGTATGAAAAGTGCTTTGTATATAAACATACTGTTTAATTTTATAACATGTGACACAAATTATTGCTTGTATTCTAAAGCAAAGATGAAACACCAAGCTTGAGTTTTACATCTTCTCATCTATTCAGAGAAAAACGCCATGTTTCAATAAAACCACTGCAAACTATTTCAATTTGCAAAGAAATGTTGTTTATTTTAAGGACCAAGAACTACTAAACACCTGGAATTTGAAAATGGATCAAGAATTCTACTTTGATCCAAAAAATGGGGTCTGACAAAAATACTGAACCAATCCTTGAATAGATCTGCTGTCGGCTTAAATAACAGATGCATGTATGGCCAACTGCGTTCATTATGTGGGGAAAAAAGCAATATTATCACCAGAACAAGAACATAAAGATGACGTTAACAAAACATGTTAAAAAAGCGTTTAAATCAATTAAAAACAAAAAGACAACTCACCTTGATTTCATCGTACGTGGGCCGATGATAGTCTCTGAGATGTGAGAACATGTTGGTGGTATTCCCTCCCTTAGCCGACACTTTCTTCTGACACAGTTTGCAGATGGGGAAGCCGTTACACACCACTGACCCTTCTGCGTCTTTCGGATACCCGAAGAATTTCCAGACGGCTGATTTCACCTTGTGTGTTGGAGGACAGAGGTTTGAGGAATCCATGTCCGCCTCCCAGGTGAACGAGCTGACCACCTCCTGAAAGAAACGTTATAAACCATGTCAACATCTGGACAATCCTTAACTCCCCTACGGACAGCCTGCTTACGAATGCAGATATTTCACCATGAATCATTTTTACTGTCCAACTTTCTGAAAAACACATCATCGTGACTTCACCTCTGGTTCTGTGTAGACGCTGCTGTGGTTCTCCTTGAGGTGTTGACGCATATTTCTTGTGGTCTCGCCTTTGGAAATTAATTTCCGAAGGCAAATTTTACAATAAGGAGCTCCGTCCTCTTGGAGGATTCCCTCTGCATCTTTCCGGTATCCAAAATGCTCCCACAAGGTCGAGTCATGTTGACCGCTCGGCGGATGGAGGTCAGCAGCGGTGTAAGTATCCTCAAGGGTCTCGTTTGTAACTGCGGACTGTGACAAAAATTTGTTAATTTAAAAATGACTGAACCTAATTTAATCTCTACCACATCCTTGTATCTCCTTTTTAACATTTTTAAACATTTTTAAATGGTGGAAATGTGTAATTGCACGTGGGTTGCGCTACGGACCCCTCCCCCGAGGGGATGAATCTGATGATTGTATGTTGAAAGAGAATTCAAAAAGAAGTCAAAACTTGGTGTTTTCTAAGGATGTGAGTGAATGATCTATTGTCATCATTATCTTTATCAGCACAACGTTGAGTATAAATCTAAGACTTTATCACGAATGACATTAATAAGTCGTAAAATGTCCGAAATACTAAAATACCAAACAAAAAAAACCTTAATTAAACAACGTAAGACAACTTACGTTAAAAATCGACATGACTACTTACTCTAATCTCATCATAGATGGTCCTATGATAATCTTTGAGATGCTTGAACATGTTGGTCGTGTTTCCTCCTTTGGACGCCACTTTCTTTTGGCACATTTTGCAGATGGGGAAGCCGTCGGACACGACTAAACCTTCCGCATCTTTCAGGTATCCAAAATACTCCCAGACTGGAGACGTGACATTCTGTGTTGGTGGATGAAGCTCTGCAGAGTCGTTACCTCCCTCCGCTCGCAAGGCAGTGAGCGCCTCCTACAGCAGTAAAACATCATGATTTAGAGCTTTCTATTTTTTTATTAAACGGCATTATTGTGGTTGTACGGCACGTCTACAACAAGCTGTGACGCACCAAATAAACCAAGAAATAAATAAAAGAAATAAAGACATGTATGAAACACAGCACCGGCAGGTTCGAGTGTAACTCACCTGGACTTCATTGTACACCAATTCGTGTTTTTTCCGAAGGTGTCTCATCATGTTGGAGGAGATAGTCGCACTCTTGGAAGCTGTATTAAGTTTCTGAAGGCACAGTTTGCACACCGGCGCTCCGTCATCTTCAATAACACCATCTGCGTTTTTGGGATATCCAAAATGATCCCACAGTCTGGAGTCGATTTCGCCGTTTGGCGGAGAAAGTTCGGAGGCCTTGTAGATCTTCTTTTCAGTTGCTGGCTGGAGTGAAAACATTTCAGACATGTTAGATACTATTTTTAATGTTCTTTCTTTAAAGACATCGTTCAGAGAAATGCTATGTCGGGATTACTGTGCTTGAGGGAGACGCCTGGATTGTTAAACCGGAACCGGATAGAAGAGAAATGAGATTAAGGTTACCTTGATCTCTTTGTAAATTTGCAAATGGTGAGCCTTTAAGTGTAAAAACATGTTTGTTGTGTCTCCTCCTTTGGCCTCCACTCTTTGTTGACACATTCTGCAGATAGGGTAGCCATCAAAAACAACGGATCCCGCCGTGTCTTTCAGGAAGCCAAAATATTCCCAGACGCGAGATAAGAGGTTTTGAGTTGGCGGGTGAAGGTCTGGAGCCTCGAGTCCATCGTCGGCCCTTGGAGGAACAATTGCAGCCTAACGAAGACAAGAAGAAGAACAGTTATTCACAACAACAACAACAACAACAACAACAACAACAACAAAGTCTGTGTGATGCTGAAGCCCATCACTTATGTTTATTAATTAAAAAAAAATGATAAAAGAAAACATGAAACACAAAAAAAAATAAAAACAGATCAATAGTAATAAATGTGTTAGCCATTAAAAAAAAAAAAAACACAATAATCCAACACTGCTACCCGTCGCCACCGGCAACGTTACTCACAAATTAATAATTGTGATAACTGAGATCACAAGACAGTTATCTTACGATAACTTTATCTTGAGATCACAAGATAGTTAGCTCATTATCTCAAGAAAACAACTGAGATCACAAGACGGTTGTCTCAGGATAACAACTTGAGAACAAATCTTGAGAACAAAAAAAAATAGTTGACTCAGCTCAAGATAACTGAGATCACAAGATAATTATCTTGTTATCTCAAGATAATTGTTATCTTGAAAACACAAGATAATTAACTCATTATCTTACGATAAAAGTTACTGAGATCACAAATGTTTTTTATCTCAGGATAACAACTTTATCTTGAGATCACAAGAAAATTAACTCGTTATCTTGAGATAACAATCCAGACAATTATAACCCTAAATGCCTCTCCGGGCTTCCGTAAACTTCCGCACTCTACTAATTCACTACAATGCCTGACACTCTACACAACAACTGAGACGATACTAAACGGAAAAAAGTGAAAGAATTCAGACAAACTCGGTTACCTGAACCTCTGCATACACCATTTCATGATTTTCCTGAAGGTGTTTCATCATGTTTGATGTGGTGTCGCCACTGGACTCCAGAGTTTGGTCACAGATCTTACAGATTGGAGGACCCTCCTCTACTGAGGTTCCCTCAGCGTTCTTGGGGTTCTCAAAATAATCCCACAGTTTAGAGTTAATTTGAGCATTGGGTGCAGAGAGTTCTGAAGATGTTGAAGATGTACCAGCACCTGCAACTACTTCATCTGAGAAACCCGGCTGGGGGGAACAGGGAAAGAAAAAAAAATAAATAAATAAAAAATCTGATTTCAAGCAACTATCAAGTCCAAATATAGTTACCAAATAAACACAGATGGGGAATTTACCCTGATTTCCTCATAGACGGCCTTATGATGATCCTGGAGATGTTTGAAGAGGTTGGTCGTATTCCCACCTTTGGCAGCAACATTCAACTGACAAATCTTGCAGATGGGGAAGCCGTCGCACACAACTGTCCCGTTTGCATCTTTCAAGTAACCGAAATATTCCCAGACCACAGACTTCACCCTTTGCGTTGGTGGATAAAGAGCTGGAGGCGAGAGTCCATCCTCCTCTCTCAAAGAATTTGTGGCCACCTGTGACAGTAACACATTCAGACACTTCAGCAAATTAACGCAAGCAAGAGCTCAGCCATCTGCTCAGTATTCACAGCGAGTACCACGCGTGGACGTGTGAACACCTACCTTGACTTCGTAGTAGACCGATTTGTGTTTCTTCCAAAGATGCCTGTATAAGAACTGAGTGTTTTCTCCTTCGCAGGACACTTTGCTTCCACAGATTTTACATAAAGGATGGCCGTCCACCTGGACAGCTCCATCCGCATCTTTTTGGTACCCAAAATGTTCCCAAACAGGTTCAAGAAGATCTCTTGGCGGGAAAAGTTTGGAATGCTCGTCTGTATTTTCTGCTTGTCCTGGAATTTCGCCGTCATCACCAGTTTCATTTTCGTCGCCGGACAGCTTTGGAAAAAACAAGCAACTTATCACTCACTGGGCAAACAAACAGTGAGTGTGTTTACATGCGCTCAATAATCCGATCATAATCAGGATTTTTACAGTTATCCGATTATTCAAACGGTCATGTGAACAGCTCTGATTTCTTAGATCTGAGTAAGGTCTAGAAATCTGATTAAAAAATCTGATAGAGAGCTGGATTTCAGCTCAGTAATCAGATTTCTCAGTGCATGTGACTCTTACTCTGATTTCTTTCTGATTTCTCAGTCTGAGCATGTGCAAAAACAGACAGCGGTACCGGAAATAAGCGAGCAGCGTCACCGCGAGACGCAGCGAAACACTTTTGGAGCGACGCCGAAACCAAATACATGCTTGACGAAATGAAGGATTTAAATATTCTTCATCTTCTAGACGATGTTTGTTCAGATTGTCAGGTAAAGTGACTCAGTGTTTAAAAAAAGCTACTACATAAAGTTTGAGTTTTACATTACATTTACGTCGCGTCTTCGTCTGTGAGCTTATTAGCTGGTTGTAAAGCAGAAATCCGATTACTCTGTTTCCCCAATATCTGATTACACAAGTGCGTGTAAATGTGTTGATCGGATTACTGACAAAATCTGATTTTCTGCAGTTATCGGATTATCAAGTGCATATAAACAAACTCATTGATTGTTGATCACATTCCACATCACTGAGTGTGTTTACATGCACTTAATAATCCGACAGCTGCAGAAAATCAGATTTTGTCAGTAATCCGATCAACATGTTTACATGCACTTGGGTAATCAGATAATAGCAAACTCTGGGTCTACATGAGCCAGACGGTAATCAGATTTCTGCTTTACAACCAGCCAATAAACTCACAGAAGAATACGTGACATAAACGTAACGTAAAACTCAAACTTCATGTAGTAGCTTCCTTAAAAGACACATCACCTGAAAATATGAACAAACATCATCTAGAAGATGAAGAATATTTAAATCCTTCATTTCATCAAGAATGTATTTGGTTTCAGCGTCGCTCCAAAAGTGTTTTGCTGCGTCTCGTGGCAACGCTGCTCGCTTATTTCCAGTACCGCCGTCTGTTTTCACACATGCTCAGACGGAGAAATCCGAAAGAAATCAGAGTAAGAGTTTACATGCACTAAGAAATCTGATAAAGAGAGCTGGATTTTAGCTCAGTAATTAAAATTTCTTAAATCAGATTTTTAGACCTTCCTCTGATCTAAGAAATCAGAGTATGCTGTTCACATGACCATTTAAATAATCAGATTTTGATCAGATTATGGAGTGCCTGTAACTAGCCAAGAATCTACATATAGCAGAAAAAAAAACAGGCAGTATCACGTAAAGATAAGAGCAGATTTACCTTCATTTCCGCAAACTCAGTTTGGTGATAATTCTGCAGATGGACCATCATATTTGTCGTACTGCCCCGCTGGGTACTAACTTTCCGGAGGCACAGTTTGCAGACTGGGAAGCCGTCAGGCACGACAACCCCGTCTGAATTTTTGAGGTATCCAAAATATTTCCAAACTGCTGACTTGAGAGCAATTTTGGGCGGATGAAGCTCTTCAGGCGTTGCCTGGATGGGAGGGGGGCGGACCCTCTCCTTGTACTGTCTGGGAGCACCGGTTTTAAGCTTCAACTCAGCAAATAAAGAATTGTGGTGGAATTTTAAGTGTCTTAACATGTTGGATAAAATTCCTTGTCTGGAAATTATGGACCGTCTGCAGGCTTTACATTTGGGGTGCTCGTTCTCCTCGATCACTCCGTCTGCGTTTTTGGGGTAGCCGAAGTAGTCCCACACCGGTGACAGCGGTAGTCTGGTGGGTGGAAACAGCTCTGGCAAGTCGCTTCCGTCATCTGCACTTGCCAAAGGCAAAGCATCGGTTGCAAGCTAAAGTGTAAACAGACAACGTGCCATTAGTGACAGTGATTGAAGTCAGTGCTGCATATGCATGAACTCACTTCATTCTTTCACTTTCATTAATTGGGAATGCACCAATACTAAAATATGACTGAGCGCTGTAACAGCGCTTTAGTTGTGTGGAGCAGGTGGGATTTAACGCTGTTAAAGCTTGTTAGGATGTACAGAAAGAGGTGAGTTCACTGTAGGTCAGTACTGTTACGCCTCTTATCCCATCACTGTCGCTAAACGTAGAAGTGTGAGAATGGTCTATTGTATCGAACATTTATATTTCTATCGAGGAAAGTTATCACGATAATTATCGTTAACGTTTTATCGCCCAGCCCTACTACATCGCTGTGCTCTTCCTGATGGAGTTTAAGTAAAATATGCATTTATGAAGAAGCTTCACTAAATGTGTTTCTGCTTCGCCTGCTTTCACTAAAACTACCAAAACTGTGAGTACAATGATGTTAATCCAGTGTGTCGCACTAAATCTCATTAAACAGGACTAATGGTGCTTTGTGATGAAACATGCAGCTAGTCAGTGTTCAAGAGCTGACAATGTTATAATGACGTAATGTGATGCATCACAGCAACAATAAATACTGTCATACTGCCCACCTCTAGTGTAGGGGTTATTATAGTTAACTAAAACTATTATTAAAAATGAAAACTAACAGAGAAAAACACACTCATTAACTGTAAAAGAAAACATGAAAACTATATATATAAATATATAAACTATAAAAAATATGTTCACTGCAAAATGAAAACTAAATAGAATTACTGGGACAAAAACTTGTATTTTTTCAGTATTCAATAACATTTTAGAAGAGGTGTTTGGTCTTTAAGCTCAGTTTACAGTACTAATTCCATTCCCTTATCACAACCTTCATCACAAAACCTAAACTAAAATTATTACTTTTCAGAAAATAAGAACCAAAACTATTAGTGCATTTTAAGATTAACAAGCTAAACTGAAACCAAAAATCAAAATATAAAACTAAATAAAAATTAATGATTTTTTAAAACTATAATATCCCTGCTCTAGTGAGGAGTGTACACAGTCGTATGCGAAGGTCTGGACACCTTTGGTCAAATCTGTTGATTTTCTAAGTGAACACATCCTTTAAAGAGAACACACTTCTGCACATTTTAATACACAACTACTGCATATTTGCCAAATTTAACATATCGTGGGGAAATAAGACATAAAATGTGGTCTGTGCCAACGTTCGTCACATTTTTTAATGCTTTATTTTTTCCTATATGCGAAAAAACAGAAGTTGTGCTCTAAAATGAGCAGCAATGCCACATTTAAGTGTGTTCCCAGTAGAGCAGGTATGTCAAACTGTGGCAAAGTGCTGCGGAGATCAGCGTTTACCCTCAGCTAACACTCAATTCAGTTCATGAAGGCCTTGCTAATCATCTTATGAGCTGAATCAGGTGTGTTCAATGAGGCAGGGAGCTGAAGTCTGCAGTGTTTTGTCCTGCGAGGACTGAAGCCTGACACACACGTGCTGTAGAGGAACTTCTTTTTACTTAGAAAGTCAACAAAACTGTTTGGGTTCGAACCTCTGCATATGACTGCACTGTCCATCACCCAAAACAGTCAGAAAACATTCTACCTTCACCTCCTCGTACTCCGCCTGATGATGGCGCCGCAGGTGGTTTAACATGTTGGAAGTGGTTCCGTCCTTCGCCGCCACTTTCCGAAGGCACAATCTGCAGAGGGCGAAGCCGTCCTCCTTCACCATGCCCTCTGCGTTTTTGACGAATCCAAAATATTTCCACACGGGGGAATTGCGATGTTTAACAGGTGGATGAATCTCTGCTGGCTCCGATAATCTGTGCTCTGGTCTCGCGGAGCCAATTATATGCTAGAATGATTAAAGGGTAGAAAGGAAAGTCAGGTTGTTCTGATTGGGGCCTCCTTCTCTAAAAGGTTAACATGTAAAACTAGTGGCGATATTGTTTTATCAGTTAGGCCCAGTCCCACTTCACCCCTCGCCCCTACCGCTGAGCCCTACCGCTCCGTTTTGCACGTTCACGTCTAGGGGTAGGGGGTCCTGACTTTTGTCGAGATAGAGGGGAGGGGCGAAGTGTGAGGGCTACATGACCCTCCAAACGGAGGCTGTTCAGAGACTCCAGAGAGTTATGATAAGAAAAACTGGCAAGATGGAGGACAAGAGACCAAAGAAACCCACAAAAGGGAGAATTTTCACTGTGAAAAAAATTACGATACTGTCTTAGTTTACTGGCGTTTCAACTTATAATGGTCCTTTTCTTTATAAAAAGCATAAAAATCCACTAGTATTATGCTGATGTCTCAGTAGCTCGCTGGCAAATGGCAATGGGAGTTCCACCTTAAATGATGCAGCAGTTACATTCTGGTGACTCAGGCATCAAAACTACTGCTCCATTTAAGGTGGAATGAAAGAAATCGAACGAGAAGCTGGAGAAAATCTGACTTCAGCTTCATATCAGTGGAATTAGAGGTGGGTGATAATAAATAATTGCCCCCCTCTTCGAAGGCATATAATTCCCTAAATGTAACTAAAGCCCAGCAGTGAGGAGCTGAACTTTACACTCCTCTGCTGTCACTGCAGACTGACAGGGTCAGAGCAGCGCTAGTAGCTGTTAATGAAGTGATGCTCTTTTTATTTGAGGGTCTCATTTCAGAGGGGAGATTTGATCCACTACCTCAGTAACTCCAAGGCACAAGGTGACACTCGAAAACAAGGGGCAGAGGTAAAAATAGGGATTAGAAATGGGATTAGGCCTAAGACTAAGGGTCACTGGGATTGGAGGTGGCCAATATGACAACATTTATAATTATTGTGAAAAATAACAACACAATACACTTTTCTAAATATAGCACGGATACTGGTGCTTAAACAACACTAAGAAACTGCACGTATTATTACAAAGAACTACTCAGGTTTAATTGGATCCTGTGCAGCACAAGACCTGAAATTTTTGATTAAATCATTTTATTCATAGTTTTTGATAGCATTCTTGAACTATGGCACTGCTGAACTTATCAAACCTCAATCTAAATATGGTTGTAAGTATTGTAAATAATTTTCATTCCATTAAATAAAATACACACACACACACACACACACACACACACACACACACACACACACACACACACACAATAAAAAAATACACACGGCTCTTTAAACTCAGCTGGCACACTTAACAGATGACGGCAGTTTTTACCTTCAGTTCTGCATAAACTGTCTGATGATGCCGCTGCAGATGGCTGTGCATATTTGATGTATTGCCATCTTTAGACGCCACTACTTGATGGCACAGTCTGCAGATGGGGAAACCGTTCTCCTCCACGATTCCCTCCGTGTTCAAGACAAACCCAAAAAGCTTCCACACCCCAGACTTTCGAGGGTTTTTTGGTGGAAAAAGTTTTAACTGTTCTTCTCCTTCAGCCAGAGGAATATCAATGCTGGTAGGGATCCCAGGCTGAGGGAGGGAGGGAGGGAGGGAGGGAGGAGAGAGAGAGAGAGAGAGAGAGAGAGAGAGAGAGAGAGGTTAAGAAACATCTGAAAAATCTATTATGGGTTACACTGTTAAAAACCCTCTGTATTTTTCTTCCATTTTCACCCATTTAAAACACACAACCTTCTCTTTATATCATGAAAATTTCATGATGTATAATTAAATAGATTTAAATTACTCGGACAAACTCCTGTTACTCCCATATACTACATTTTCTTGTATTTTACTTTTTCCTCCTGAGGTCCACTTATGACGTTTGTGTGGTTTTAGTAGCAAAGTTTTTTTTTCATTTTTTTGTTACTGTGCCTTTAAGGCTGCTGTATGTAAGCTGCTCTAATAAGCTCTGTTCTTACTGGATGTCCTGCCCTGAACCTCATTCAGGAAGCGGTCCAGACTGCAACACTCCTTATAACGTCAGTGTGAGTGGGCGGAGCTTAACTGGATATATGTAAATGATTCAAGTTTTCTTGACATCAGGCTGCAGCTGAGTTTCCATATAAGGACTATAAGGACTGAAGAGAGAATGATAGGTTCTGAAAATGTTATTAACATTATAGAAGACAACTTCTTTTGTATATTAAAACACATACGTACGTACACACACACACACACACACACACATATGTATATATATGTATATATATACACACATACATATATACACACACACACACACACACAACACACACACACACACATTTTTTCTTTAATAAAACATACCCTTCACTCTTTAGTCAGTTAGTCAGTCCATATATGGAAACTATGCTGCAGCCAGTTTCGAATTTATTTTTGATAGAGATCATTTTTCTGACAAAGGGACAAAAGAGATGTTGGACGGTGTTCATAGTAAAACAATAGCAAAAACACAATGACTGTTTTTGGTATACAAACCCACACAAACGCAAATGAAGACCTGGAGGAAAAAAAAATATGTAATTATATAAGAGAAATGTAGGATGTGGCTTCTTTTCCTTCTTTGGAGCCGACAACATGCACAGACACTGAGAACCGCTTCACTGCATTTCTGTAAAATGTATATATTTCTACCTTTGTCACCGGACACACGATCTGATGGTGGGCCTGGAGATGGTAGCGCATGTTGCTGGTGTTGCAGGAAGATCCCGGAGACACTTTCCAGCCACAGATCCTACAGCTGGCGACTCTCTCCTTGTTGGCATCGTCGTCGTTGTTATATACGAAGTACTGCCACACAGCCGACCTGACCTGCCTCTTCTGTCGGGTGGATCTGGGGTATCTCCTGTCAGTGTAATCGACGTCGTCGTCATCAGCGTCAATGTCGTATTTCTCCTCCTCGCTGTGCCACTGCTTCTCCATGTCCTCCACGTCTTCTTCCATCTTCATCTCTCTGTCCGAGTCGGAAGAATCCCACTCGGTCCACACGGCGTCCACTTTCTGAAAGACGATAAACGAGACTGAGTGAAAGACGATACCAGCACTTTAGTTGCTGATATTTAATATGGTGCTTAACCCATTCATGACCAAGAACAAAAGAGCCTGATCTTGTTGTGATTACACTGAAACACACACACACACACACACACACACACACTATCACATATCAGTGCTATAATTTGTTGCTTTTTGTTGTTTTTAATCTAAAAATAGATATAACTACATACAAAATACACACAAACCCTTAAAAAGCACAGCCAAATCTATTTTTAGATTGACAGTTTATTTTTAGATTAAAGGTTTATTTTTGTACATTTTTACTGTGCCAAACAGAAAAAACTGAACTGAACAACACATACAGTGCTGTACAGAAGTCTTGGGCACCTAAGCACATTGTTTAAAACCATTTGTCTTAACAATGTGTGTGTTTGTGCTGTAAAACACCATATATCATTAGAATATATCCAATTAAACAAAGAATAATACATATAACGATTTCATATAATGAAGCACTAACTGGCCAAACCAAGAACTGCATAAAACTAATACTCAGCTGCCACGTAGAAAGGTTTGGAAACCGTTAACTGAACACAGAGCGATGTATAAAATCAATAGTCACTGTATTAATGGTATTTTTGTTTATTCTAATAACGGAGACTTCTGACCAAATAAATGCTCACTGTCCAGATCAACAACTTTAAGTCAAATTTTCTGAGGTTCCTACACCTTTTGCATAGTACTGTACATAAACCTAGGCCAAGTTTTAAAAAACAGGCAAAAGTGGTTTTAAAAGTTGGGTCATGTCCGAATTTCTACAAAGCTAAAGTTGGCTTATTATTTGGCAGCTTTCTGTGCAAATTTTTTGTTCCACCTTAAATGGTGCTACACTGTTACATAGATGCCGGGATGTAACTGCACCCGCCCCTCTGACCGTCAGCCTCTGCTGAAATTTGGAAAGTATTACAGTCATTCATGCTATCAGCGCCAGCTGGTACACGGTTTGCTGCGTGGACGAAGCCACAAGACTGTAACACCATCTATCGCAAGTGACCATGTGAGGTAGCTTCTCGGCCTGGTCTCACCATTCTGGTGTCCATGTTAGGCTAACTAACCCAAAAAGACCGGCCGTTCCTTTACTTCCACTGCTTCAAAAACAAAGGGGGCTTCTTCAGAGACCCTAAAGCACACGTGTCAGGCTCCAGTCCTTGTGGGCCGAAACAGTGCAGACTTCAGCACACTGCCTCATTAAAAACACCTGATTTAGCTCATCAGCTAATTAGCAAGGCCTTCGTGAACTGGATTCAGCGCGTTAGATGAGGGTAGACGCTGATCTTGGCAGCACTTTGGCCCGGAAGATCCCCAGTTTGACACGCCTGCTCTAAAGTGTGGCTGCTAAACCATTTTGAATGGAAAATTTGAACGAATTTGAAGAAGCTACAAAAGAAAAGTCCCTCTCAGCTTTGTGGTTGATACCACCACTATGGATCAACAACTCTAACGTTTTACCCTCAAAACTAAAAAATTAGTGGTACATTAGTTAGTAATCAGGCAGAATTCCCATATCAGTGCATCCCAACTGCATTAATGCAAATTAGTGTCTAAACGAAGTGCAAGTGAGGGGAAAAGAAACTCAGCCCACCTTGGCTTTGTAATAGGCAGCTGTATGGTAATCCTGCAGGTGTCTCAGCATGTTCGACGTGTTCCCTCGTTTACACGCCACCTTTTGCTGGCATATTTTACATGTGGGGAAACCGTCGTCCTCGACCTCCCCGTCTGGGTTTATGAAATACTCGAAATGTTCCCAGACTCCAGAGTGAGAGACCTTGGCTGGAGAAAAGTCCCAGCACATTGACCTGGCGCGTTTTTGCGGAGGTGCATGTTCACGAGGCTCCTCTTCCTCATCCGCTTCCAGAATCACTTCCATCTACAACAGCAGAAGATCCCAGAGTGAGGCTACAGGGGTAAACAGTCAAAACATCTCAACCAGGTGACTGTCTCTATTAATGAATCACACTCAGCTAGTCTACCTGCTGCTAGTGAAGTGCAGTCTAACACAGTGAGGACACTGAACTAAGGGTCTGTGGGCTGTTCTAACCTAAGAAGAAAAATGTCCAAGTGGATTGAACTGGCTTTACCTTTCAAACTGCACACAGGGCTGGAGCTCCTGAAGCCGAAAATATCGTTTTGGATGCCTTCGTCTTTTAAAGACAGGGTCTGATGGCCTATTACTCAGATCAGGCGTTCTTCCTTCTTGGAAAACCGATCTGTGCTTTTGAAGTAACGAAAATGCGCCCAGTTGTGCCAAATTAAGGCGTTCTCTGGGCAGGTTCGTTATACGTGGTGCACTTTGGCACAAGAATAATCATTAACATGTGAGGTACAATTATGACACAGCCAAAAAGGGCAGGATCATCACCACTTCCCCCACGTAACTTACTCAGCAGAGGTTTTCACAATAAAACACTTCATTTTTATGAATTAAGTCAATGTTTTAATGAGCTCCATTACATCCAGCAACTTGTGTGACACCAACACTATGTAGAAATTCAGTCAAATTCAGCCTGTGCCGCACATTTACCAAGCTTTAGAGAAACCACGTACTCTCTGTTTTAATTTCATTTAGTTTATGTTTAATTTAACCAGGAAAGTCACCTTGAGATTTCTAATTCATTTGCAAGTGAAACTTGGTTAAGAAAGCAAGTGTACCATGACATCCTTATTACGTGTACTAATACAAACATAACAACACCCTTAAAAGCAGTTATAAAAATCACAGACACATTCATAAACCAGCGTAATTCATAAGCTCATAAAGATTCTCGAGAGTTAAGCATTGATCCAGGGCCAGTTCTTCACTCAGCCCTACTTTAAAACTGCACTATGTAAGTTTTGGGGATTTGGAGACCTCTCTGGTGGAAATGTGTAATTGCACACAACATGTGGAAGAACATTTTAATGTGAGTTGTGCTTCGGAGCCCTACCTTCATCAGTATAAATGTTAATTTTGAGATCATTTGAGACCTAAACATCGAGCCGGACCTTTGCTTTGAGCCTGTGTGTGTGATGCTGATAAGTAAAGATGTACGACATGGTGTGAAAAACTTCCCCGACAACTCAAGTTTCAAAAAATGATTATTTTAGGCTTGACAGGGCAACTCGCAGCAGCACAAACCATATTTAAGACTGTTTTTTATTCTCCTCATTCAGTAATGCTGCTTCTTTCAGTGTTAACCAAAACTCATCTTACTTAGTGCAGCTTTAATTGAACATGAAGTGGAAAAACTGCATCTAAACCGCCAAGGTGGCTGACCCATCACCTGGTTCTCATGTGCAATATGAAGCCTCATCATACCCTGCTTTCACCGCCGGCTGCCACTTTCCTCGGCCTTCCCCGCCTCCCCACAGCCTTCTTCTGTCTCCTCGGCCGTCCTCGAGGGCGCTTCTGAGGGAATTCTGCTGCCTCTGTCTGGCCTGGGAAAGAAAATGACACAGTCAGGAAAAGCAGTTATACACCGTATCAGTGCTGTACACTCATTTTCAATAACAGCATAAAGTCTCAACAACAGGCACCATATCTATACGTGCTATTACATTAAAGGGACAGTGCAGCCAGAAAGAACAGTTTAACCATCACTGCATCTGTCCCTCGCAGTCCTACAGCGTGAGATTCCGGAAACTTCTCCCTTCTGATGATTTATACTGCAGGAGACACTTTTAACCTCTTATGCTCGTGGGTATATTTTGGTTTGTCCATCTGAATTTACATGACCAAGGCAAATTATTCAGTAACTGCATGAAATAACACTATTTTATTTATTTATTTTCTGTAAAAGCTCCTCAAATTAATAGAGAATGTGTTTTATGATCATAAACATATTGCTATATGCTTACAATTTACTGCTGATAGCCAAAAATCTTAGACGCTCTTTGTATTATTCTATAAAATAATGTTTACAGAGCAGATCACTGAAGAGACGCCATCTGTTTATAGTTTATAGCCCAGGTTTGTGGAAAAATGGGTTGACTTTCAGTAGAAAAGTTCAGCTTCTTTTATTATAAGGGTTTAAAATTACATTACCCATCTATTTGACTGGACAGAGACAGTTACAGCTCTCATACGACCCCCAGCTTCTGAATGTAGCTTATGAAATATGAACGTTATAAAGAATATGACGAAGTGCGTTTTGGAACCACCGGTGGTCCCAAGGAGGTTAAAAACCTACTACTGCTTTTGGGTGGGGTATTTTTGTGGATGGGCTGTTTTGAGTCTTCAGTGGCTGTTGAACGCAGAAAGCTAGTTAGCTAACGCTAAAGCTAGGAAGTCACATATCTTACTGTCCTCAAATCATCCTCACAATGGGAATAAAGCACTCAAACGACAGAAATCACTCCTCAGATGAGAACGACAACAAGCTAAAAGCTAAAGTTAGCAAGGTTGTTGGCTACATAAACACATTAGCATAGCTTGGCTTCTTTTCTCTGACTGAAAAGGATAAAACTCTCGTTTGGCGTCCATTTTGTGCTAAATAAAGACAGAACTGCTGTTTTCTTTATGATTTTATTTGAAGAGTGAGGTAAGGCTCACGCTAACGCTAGCCTGGTTGTAGTTATTAGCCTTAGGATTGTTTGGCACCACAAGGGTTGCCGACGGTGCATTTGCACAATGCATGCTGGGTACTGTAGTGAGGAAACTGATAAATTCAAACAATTTCAATAATGAATTCTGTCAAACTGATGCTGCCCAAACAACAAAACTTATTAAAATGGTGGTTTTGGGCCATAACGCCTCTTTAAACAGCCCCACAGCAGTGGAACATCATCAGTAAGTGTTTTTATAAGTGAAGTTTAGTTATGAAAAAGGAAAACTGCACAAAACGTTCCATAAAATCAGCAGTAACGTTTCTTTTTTTTCAGTTTAGAGTAGCAGCAGTGAAGAAGCGTGACTTCATTAACTCTAATATCACTGAAATATTATTACTCTATAATATACTTAGAAATTATCACAACGTTTAACTTTTATCAATACCTGTATGGAGATAAAACCAGGATATGTGGGTTATGAATAACTGCTGCAGTGTCATTCCATGCCAAAAATCAATGGGACCTGAACCCACTGCATGAAAACGAATACCCTGATCTAGCATTACGCCACTTTAGCACAATACCGACTGCACCACACAGCCTCTGTTTCACTTTTTATTCAGATGATTTTGATGATCTTAGATTTAACACTTTTAATCCCACTGTTGAAGGTATGCCTGGTTAGTGTTAGGCACAAAAACTGGTTACAGGCCTTCACACCACATAAACCCCTCATAACAGTTTTACCAACATTAAAGGAGCAGATCAGGGATTGTTATCTAACTATCCAGAATGAAGAACATCACACAGCTATAAATAGAAGCAGAGGACACTCAGAAGCTGAATTTTCTCAGTACTTTTGTCCATTACGATACATAACTTTGAGGCAAAGGCAATAATAATAATGATTTATGCCTGCAGTTAGCAACATGGAAATTGGTGGATGATGTCATCTTTTCAGACACTAAAACTCACCTAAACTGACCTGGTATTTCATCCTGAAGTGATTTTTATTTGAAGCTCTAGATCTAAAAAGTAGTCTATGGTGCTGGAGCCACACAGCCATCATCACATTACCCAGAAGCTACTTCGATGCAACGAAGCTGAAACCGAGAACGAAACCTTGACCAAAACCGTGACACAAACCTCCACAGCCTTGTTTCCACAGAACCCCGATACCACCACCATCCCCAGTGCAGCCTGTTGAGCTCTCACTACATTAATAACGTAACAGAACTCATTTCTCATTTCACAATTAATAACAAACACACGCAAATCAAGAAATTACTCTAAAGTTTGTGTAAGCTGTATAGAGTTCTTCTGTTTAGTGTTCCAAATTGTTACTTAATAAAATTTCCAATTTCTTATTCCCTCCCAACAAATGAGGTATGAACGGAACCGTGGCCCAAAAAACACCAAAACCAAAACATGGATCTGATGAATCGTTACATCCCTAATACAAATGACTGCCATTAACGAGTTAATGATCTTTTTCGTTGTGCAGCTAGCCAGTTTTGCACCAATGCAACACGGAACACGTGTTAGACCGAAATCACGAGACGAAAGCGAAAGCGGTTCTGTTTGTGTTGCATTTTCACATTATACAAATATCGGTATTATCAGTTTACTGCTAAAATAAACCTTAAGAGAAGAACATTAAAAGACATGGTATATTACCTCTGCATAAAGTAGCTACGTAAACAGAAATACATTTTTTAAAAAAACTGCAATTTTCTTAAGACGAGTCCAAAACAAATAAAATAAAATAAAATAACACGATGAATGCACTGGCAGCAGACTGGGGTTCTGGAAGTTTCGGAAGATGTTTGGATCACGGTTTCAGTCTCGGTTTCAGGACTGTTACACCCCTAATCTGTACGGCAATTAAATGTCAGCTAAAAATTCAGGACTGTGAGCAGCTGATCAGTGGATTAGAGGGAAAATCAGGGAAGTCAAAAGCAGAAAAGTTGCGACATGTTAAACTACAGAGTGAAACAAACTATGATTTTAAACCAATAAAGCAAAAAAAAAGGAAGTAATTTTGCAGGAAATGTCAAATGTAAAAGCACTTAAGCGGTAAAAGTGAGTTTCATGGAAACACGGCTATTTCACATTAGATTTCTTACAGAACTGGACCACATTCATTATTTTTTACCCTCTAAAATCCCATCCAGCTTTTTCCGCTGAGATCAGCCCCAAACTGATAACTCGCGATACAGAAAAGGCTGGACTGACTGACTAAACCTCGAGTGGGGGCGATTTTTTTTTTTTTACCTAACTAATCCTCCAAATTGCACAATGTGCTTTGATGCAGCGTTTATCACGACTGCACGTCCCCTTTAATCCCGCTCTGACTGCATGATTGTATCAGTTGTGTACATAATGGATGTATCCTATTGGTTTTTAGAGCCTGTGGGTTGCTAGGCCTCTGCAGCGGATCAATGGCCAACAACAATTTCCAGACCGAACTGAGCTGAACGCAATGTTGGTGCACAACAGTGCTCACATCTTACTTTACACGTCAATAAAACATGCATGTATAAAGACGCATATTATTCTGAAGGCGATAGTAACGCCTGGGGATGCGCGATGATATCAGTCACATCCATACTGGCAGATAATTACTGCCATAAGTGATCAGCACCATTAAATAAACCAATTCAAAACTATTACACATTTATATGTTTATGAGACACTGAGCTAAAATGTCTACATTACATTCCATTTAGTGTATTTGTAGCCCTCTACAAGGACAAAGTATGCCCAGTTTCTTTGTTTTAATTAATGTTTATGCACTGGCATTGGCAGATATGTGGGGTGGTTTAGGTACAAAGGCACATTGTGTTAGTCAACATGAGACTTACAGGCTGCTGACACTGGACGACAAAGCAATTACTTTAATTTGCTAAATTCAATTGGAAAGCATTAACTAAAAAACGAATGAACTCCAATACCCAAATCCACCCTGTACTAAAACTAACTGTAGCACTGGCCCAGCTTTCCCATAATGGTGCATCAATAATAATGCCCCTAACAATTTGGTCATGCAAATAAAACAGGCCAAAGTGCCAAGCCTGTAACATTAACACCTGACAGAGAACCAGGCAATGAACAAAAAACACACACACACACACACACACACACACACACCTCATTTGGCTAACATTAACATGCCTATTATCATAAGAGGTGACAGTTACTGCTAGTAATACTAACCTATGCCAAAAACACGGAGGCAGGCACAGTACTGTATTATTATAACGTAATTTGCCCATGCAAAAAAGAAAAAGACAGAACCCAATGCACTTACAAACAAGCAGATAAATGCACTGACCGCTACACTGTCAAAGCACGTATGTAAAACATGCACACTAGCATGTTACATTGTAAAATGTATCCATGCAAAAATGGAAAATTCTATATTTAAAAATAAAGCACTTCACATTGGCCCACATATAAAAATGCATTGCATTATACTGTAAATAAAGCATGCATGCAAAACATGCATATCAACACAAAGATTAACAAAAAGATAAAAAAAAATGCATATTAAAAAAATAAATAAATAAAAAGTGCTAGATGTCGACCCAGGTGGGCCCTGTGCACCTACAAATATGCATGTAAAGTGTGTAAAATGTGTAGCATTACACTGTAAATAAAACAGGCATGTACAAAAATGTATACTAGCACACCACAATGTTATACGTGCCCATGCAAAAAAGGGATAAAATATATTTTAAAAAAAATACAAAATCATTAAAACACTGTCCCAGCTGGGCCCAGCGCACATACAAACATGCATGTAAAATGAACATCACTACACTGCAAAAAAAAGCATGCATGTAAAACATGCATATTAACACAGCACAAAACAAAATTTGCTCATGCAAAAAGAGGAAAAATAGCTAAAAAACATAAAAAGTACATCACGTGGCCTCAGGGGGGCCGTGAGCCCAAAACAACATGCATGTAAAGTGTGTAAAATGTGTAGCATTACACTCTAAATAAAACATGCATGTACAAAAATGTATACTGGCACACTACAATGTTAAATCTACCCATGCAAAACAGGAATAATATATAAAAAACACACAAATTCATTAAACACTGTCCCAGCTGGGCCCAGTACACACATAAACAAGCATGTTAAATGCACTGCAATACACTGCAAACAAAGCATGCATGTAAAACATGCATATTAACACAGCACAACATAAAATTGCCCATGCAAAAAAGAGGAAATATTCTATATGTATAAAAATATAAAGTTATGAACCTCGACCCACCCAGTCCTGGTGCACAAATAAGCGTGTGTATAATATGCATGCTACCAAAATCCAAACAAAATATGCATGTAAAACGTGCACACGAGCCTGCCACACCGTAAAACGTGCCCATAGAAGAAAAAAGGAACGTAAATAAATACATAAAGAGATAAAGTACTGCACGTCGACCAGCTCTGGGCCCAGTACGCTGATAAACATGCATGTAAGATGCAGAGCATTACAGTGTAAACAGGACACGCGTGTAAAATGAACACCAGCGTGTTAAACGCATCTGCGTTAAACTGTCTCAATGCAAAAGAATTAAAAAGCAAAACGAAGCTACAGCGCGCGTGCACGGGCTAGGCTAACTAACTAACAGCCCCGTAAACACAACACGCGCGCAGCCCTTTAGCCTTGTGAGCTAACGCTACCTGCTCGCTCGCGGGCCCCGCGGTTCCTCCACGCGGGCGCGCCGGCCGAGTCGCACTCTGAGTCGGTCAAGGAGCGCTGCTGGAGCCGCTGCTGCTCCTCCTCGTCGGACTCGACCGGAGCGAACAGGCTGAGCTCCAGCTCCATCTTGGCCTCCGCGGCGGCGCTGCTGGCGCTGCTGGCGCTGCTGGCGCTGCTGGCGCTGCTGGAGCCGCTGCACCGAGCGCTGCAGGCCGCCTGCTCCTCCTCCAGCTTCACCACCACGAAGGGCCCGTTTTCGTCCTCCACTTCCTCCTCCTGCTTCAGCCCCTCGAAGGCGCCGTCCTCCTCCTCCTGGAGCCCTTGCAGGAGCAGCGCTCTCTCCGGGCAGGCCTTCATCCTGCGGCCGCGGCAGCGGTGCAGCTACAACATCAGAGGGAAAAAGGGAGGTTTGGGCGGGTTAGGATTGGTGAGCGTCCCCGAGCGCAGGCTGCTGCTGCAGGTGAAGCCTTCCGTCCTCCCCGCGGCGGATAATGGCTCCTGCTTATCAGACTACACTCAACTTTTCACCGAGGAGCCTCTCCAGCGGTGGGTGGGTCCTGCTCCACCAAAAAAGAGCTCGCAAATCCAGGGCTGCGTCCCAAATCCAGCTCCAGCTCCAGCTCCCTACTTAGTGGACTACTGCACAGGGAACAAAAGGGAGTGATTGTGTTGTAAAGGTGATTAGAGCTGCGGGAGCCTTCAAGGGGAATTCCACCCATTTGCAAAATTTCTGCATAATTCAGTGTTTGAGATGTAAACAGAGCCATTCAGAGCGGTTTGGTGTGAAATGGTTCAGATGTCCTTACAGTGGTGGTGATAGGAACCAGGGGTCGCCATGACTACAACACGAATATAGACATTTTATTTACTATCCAGAACCACCAGAGAACCTACACGAGCCTTCTGAGTGTTTATATAGAATATTGATGATGGTTAAATAGTAATATATCTGAAAAGTAGGTTTCTTTGGGGACTATTCGGCCTCACAATGCCTTTCTGCTATAAGTGTATGAGTTTTGGGCCCAAATCTCATCTGAAAAAGGAACATAAAATGATGTTTCAGGCATTAGGCTGCATATTCGTAACCATTTCATGTGATAAGTTTGGTGAAGGAGCTTTTAGAGGTGGACATCTGGTTCCTGTCACCACCACTGTGACCAATTCTGACTCTGTAAGTTTCTCTAGAACAGAGCGTTTCACACCAAACCACTCTGAACGACTCTGTTTACATCTTATCCATTTAATTATGTAGACATTTTGAAATATGGGAAGCGCTCTTCTTTATAATAGTCATTGATGCATTATGATATCAGTGTTAGTGCAATGATAAAGGAGTCATACATGTATCGATGTTTAGATTGACCGATACTGCTCAGACCACAAGGCTCAAGATGTATCAAATACTTAAGACGGTCCACTGTAGACATAAACATTAGATACACAACTAGCCCTTGAGTAAATGAACTAAATGATGAAATGTTTTCTGTTTTCAGTTATTACTGATGCATGAAATGTTGTTTAATGTGTGTAGGACATCTTCTGTGACAGTTTGTGTTACATTATTTTGGCTTAGCTTGAAAGACAATGAGAAGAAATCTCAATTCAAATTGAATTCACAATTCAAATCTTACACAAAAACACAATAAGTAGAATCGGGTATAGCAGAATATTGTACCAGACTAAGGCCCAATCCCATTTCACCCCTCACCCCAACCGCTGAGCCCTTAGCCCTCTGTTTTGCATGTTCACGCCTGGGGTAGGGTGTCCCAATTCTTGTTGAGATAGAGGGGTAGTGCAAAGTGTTTGGGCTACATGATCCTCCAAACTGAGGTTTTTCAGAGACTCACTCCAAACAGAGTGTTATGAGGAAAAAAAAGAAAAACCGGCAAGATGGCTGAACGAGAGACCAAAGAAACCCACAAATAAATATCGTAAAAAATTACAATAACCACTGTATTGTCTTAGTTCAAAGTCATTTCTATGTATTATGGTCGTTTTGTTTGTAACAGGCATAAAAAATTGCTAATAGCATGCTGACGTCTCCGTAGCTAGCTGGCTAAATTTCCCGTTCCACCTTTAATGGTCCAGTAGTTCTGATGCCTGAAGTGCCAGAATGTAACTGCTGCTCCATTTAAGGTGGAACGGGAAAATTCAAACGAGAAGCTGGAGAATATCTGACTTCAGCTTCATATCACTGAAGAATTAGGGGTGGGTGATAATAAATAATTGCCCCCCTCTTTGAAGGCATATGATGCCCTAAATGTAACTAAAGCCCAGCAGTGAGGAGCTGAACTTTACCCTCCTCTGCTGTCACTGCAGACTGGCAGCGTCGCCTACAGAGCAGCGCTGGTAGCTGTTAATGAAGTATTGTTTTTTGTTGTTTTTTTTTGTTTTTTTTTATTTGAGGGTCTCATTTCATAGGGCAAGATTTCAACCACTACCCCTGTAACTCAGTTCCAAGGGGTTAGGGTGACACTCAAAAACAAGGGGTAGGGGTAAAAAGAAGAAATGGGATTGGGCCTAAGACTTTTGTATATTCTAGTATCAAAAAGAAGGAACAACTTGACGTTTAGATCTCTAATGTCCCAAAGGCAACATTATACTGCTGAAGATATTGTTGAGAGTAGATAATTCACTCACATCCTCCTTCACCAAGTTTTGAATTCTCTTTCACTCATCAGATTTATCTGCTCGAGGAAGGGGTCCGAAGCACAATCCACATTACAAAATGTTCTTCCCTGTGTCGCGTGCAGTTGCACATTCCCACCAGAGAGGTCTCCAAATCTCCAAATCTTACATGGAGCAGCTTTAACTGAAACAATATTGGTTTCAATGTAAACAAGAAAAAACTTAGTTGACTGAGCATTTCATTGAGAATGTACTGCCATTTCATTAGATCACAAAGAACTACTATGCATTATTGTTAGTATTATTATTAGTGCTTTACGTGATTATAAGCTAAAGGCTAAATTCATCAGAAAAATGCATCTTGAAAAATAGTGGGCCCCTAAAATTGATAGGTTCCTGACAAACTGACTTTTAAAACAGATTTTGGTTGCACATGGATGTTGTTAATAGGTCACTAACTAATTTACTCCTTAAAACAGACTTTGGATGTTCATTGACATAATTAATATGCCCATGACAGACTGACATAAATACAGTTTGGGCATCCAAGGACGACTCGTGCATTTTATTTAGTTTACTGTGTTTGTAATCCAATAGAAATAAACCTTAGATTTCCCCATAGTGCTAATCTATATAGTCCCGATTTCTGCATGTTATAAACGTCTATGTATCAGCACTGGCAGATATGTTCATGAAAAGTAACACAAATTGGCATCAACACATAATTCCCTTGTTAGTGCATCTCTAATAAAAGCAACAATAATAATGACTTTCCCACGGTTTGCATTATAGCACAGGATTAATAGGACCTGGGTTTATTTCTATGCTTTGCTTCATAGCCCAGGATTAGTATAATCTGGGATTATTTCTACAGTTTGTTTTATAGCACATGATTAATATAACCTGGTCTTATTTCTATGGTTTGTTTTATAGCACAGGATTAATATAACCTGGGACATTTTTTATGTTGATTCTTCTGCCGTCACATCTCTTCTTCTCATCCTCAGAGGGAGGAGCTAATATGCAAGGAAATATGCAAGAAAAAAAAGCATTTGAGGATTAAAGACACAATTAAACATAATTAAAGATAACAGATGCATCTTGGGAGGGGCAGCAACTCACTGACCACCCATTCACTACTCACTGCTCAGACACATTAGAAAAAAATGATTATATTCAAATTATACATCGTGTAGAATTTCTAAGTGAAAATAAACTCTATAACACATGCTCTACAGGGAACACACATGTCATATTTTGCTCTATTTTTTCCCAAAATGTTCAGAAAATGAACAGTTACTGTGCATTGAAACATGCAGAAGTGTGCGCTCTGTAGAGGCTGTGCTAACTTATTTTCATCCATCCATCCATCATCTAAACCGCTTATCCTTCTGGGTCACGGTGGGGTGCTGGAGCCTATCCCAGCTGTCATTGGGCAGAAGGCAGGATACACCCTGGACAGGTCGCCAGTCCATCGCAGGGCAGACATACACATTCACACCTAGGGGCAATTTAGCATGTCCAATCAGCCTGACTGCATGTTTTTGGACTGTGGGAGGAAACCGGAGTACCTGGAGGAAACCCACGCAGACACGGGGAGGACAGGCAAACTCCTCACAGAAATGACCCTGGTCGCCCGGCCGGGAATCGAACCCAGGCCATCTTTGCTGTGAGGCGACAGCGCTACCCACTGCGCCACCGTGCCGCCCTAACTTATTTTCATTTATCAGTAAAACTTTAAATTTGATCAAACTTTTGCATATGACCGTAGGTAATAATTAGGGTGGATCTGGTCTGCATATGATGAAGTATAACAGAATTAAACCATGCGTTAGGGTTTTAGTGTATGCTGCTACTTCACACATTCTTCTTTAGCTAATACAAGCAGCTAAAAAGATGAATTGACTCCTTCAGGAGGAAGATTTTTCCTTTTTTATATAAAATATAATATAATTTAACAATTTCTGATTCTATCCATTTTTTTATGGGTTTTTTTTAAACCTTAATTTTTTTTTTATCTGATGAGATTCTGATGTCTTGAGGGATCTTATTCCTAAACAGTATATAAAAGTATATAAAATAGACCAGACGCCCATGAGAAGGTTAAACATAGTACGATAGATAATGTGGGAAGGAGCTAAAATCTTGCTTGGATGCCAGTATGAGTTCTATGATGATTTTGTTAACAGCAGGTAGAGTTGATGGCTTTATTTTTGTTGTGTACGACAAAATTTAAGTGTTCCCAGTAATGTTGACACCCACTGGATAAATGTATGAATACATGCAGTAGGATAGAAATAATTTTTGTTGATATTGAAGATGTATGAGTACCATGTACTTGTCCCTCCAGACCTCGTCAGGGCCTTAGAAGGTGAGTGAAAAGATTGAAACTTAAACTTGGAGTCTCCACCTCCTGCCGAGTCATGTGATCATGAGAAATGAGGAAAAATCAGAGTGAGACGGATTCTTTCGGGATCCATTTTGGAATGGCTGGAGGAAAACACGGTGAATATCTGAGCCTATACTGTAATTTATGTACGATAAGTGCTAAAACTACAAAATGCAGTAGAAGCAGTGGGTGCAGTCAGACTGTTAGCAGAACTCTTTTAGCTTTTCCACTGCACTTTCACTTTCTGTTCAAGTATCCGTTCCAATTTGGTGAATGTTATATAACTGCTATTTTGTGTTGTTGATCAATTTAAAGGCATGTTGTCTTCTCAGGTCCACATTTAGGAGAATGTGTTTTCCCGTGTTACTGTCGAAACTTTTTTTTTTATTTTTCTTTCATTATCTCAGTCTAACATGAGCAGTTTTCAGCATCAACAAAAAACAGTGGAACAGACTACGTTGTATCCAGTTTGTGGGTACACGTCATGTCTTGGTCAAAGGAGATTTCCAGGGATCTCAGTAAAATAGTAGGTAAAGCT